AAAACAGGCCCACTCGGGTTAACTCAGTACAGTCTAATCTAAATCCCAAATCCACAAGTGGCTGAAGATAAATTCTGTTTGCACACTCAAAAAAATAATTACTCCTCAGGGATAGTAAAACCACTGATCCTCTGAAAATACCAGATGCACCTGGAAGTATAATCCATAACACTGGGTAACTCCTGTGCTGCGACTCAGATGCTTGGAGAAAGACAGGTGCTGCCATCTCATCCAGAGGATTTGGAAATCTTGTGTTTAATTAAGCCCCTGGAAAATTAATCAGAACACACCTTACCTGTGCAGCTTCGTAGGTGATGGTCTTTGTCTCTGTGTGGACAATGGGGACTTCTTTTGTGGGAATTTCGCTTTTGACGGCGCTGGACACGTCGGAGATGGTGACCGTCTGTGTCTTCACTAGTGGTGGCTGTGAGACAGGGTTAAAAACATCTCCGTGAAGACCCAGTTAGCATTTCCACATCACGACTGTGCTGCTGGCAAACATTCTGACACTGATCTGATAAAAGCACTGTGGGAACCATGGACAGCCTGGAAATCTTTGGTCTTAAGCCTCTGGTACAACACACCGCTCAGAGGGCAGAGATCATGCGTGAGGATTAAACAGACAGAAAAATCCTCCAGACCTTCCCCAACACCGTGCCCTCAGGTCAGCCCAATGGAGGCATTAAGGGTTTAACCGGTGTGTCACAATACCACAAAGAAACTGTCTCCACTGATTATTAACCTTCTAATTAGTAGAAGCTCATTGCCAGCTGCCAGTAAAAGATGACCCTGATCTACTGATGACAGTGTCAAGAGTAACACAAACCCTGGGCAAATAAAGACTTGATCACAGCTGAGAAGCCTTATCCTGACTGCAAGTGAAACACTATTATTAAAAATCTTCATCAGATGCTAGGTCTTTAACTTTTATTAAATCAATGTCAGACAAAACAGAAACATGACATCTCAAATGAGAAAGGGGGGGGGAGGAGGGAAGAAAAATCAGTTGCTCCACCACCTGATAATTATCCAGAAGATGAGAGAGTTAGTTCAGACCCACAGTGTTTTCCCAGATGACTCGATTTCTGCTCACCATCCCCAAACCTGACAAACGCCACCGTGATTGTTAGCAGGGGAAGTGGACATCTACTTAACCGTAAGCAATTAACATCAACACTGAAGCAGGCAAAAATACCTCCCACAGTGGGGAGCAGAAAGGGGACATCAAAGCCCATGTTCACAATGTAAAAGCATGTTTGACAGTGCTTCGAATTGCTCTGCTGTGCTAAGGCTCAGCCTCCGGTACAGCAAGAGACAGCAAAAACCTTGAGGAACTAAAATTATATGCCTTTGGAGCCTAAATATTTCCCTGTTGGGGGATGAAACGGGATGCTTTGATCAAAGAAAGGCAAAGGGCACTGCACCGCAGCAACTGCATTTAATGCAAAGATAAATTGAGAGGGGCTTGTGTGCACTGACTGCGGGAGGTTAACCGGCTAATTAGCTCCAAGCACGAGTCTGAGCCAAGCAAGCACAGCTCCTCTCCGGATCCGTGGCCTCTGCTTGCTGCAGTGTTTGGGTTCCCGCTCCCAAGCCGGCCGGGGGGGGAGCAGGCGCTGGGGCTCACTACCTGGAAGCAGCGAATGACTGCCAGCAGCCCGTTAGCAACCTCCGAGTCGTGGCACTCGCCATTTAGCTTTCTAAGGGTGAATCTGTCTTCGCCATCCTCTGCCACCTCCTCCTCTGCTCCCCAGGGCTGCCCGGGAGGTGTGCCAGGGCTGGCGGGGGGCTCCAGCTCTGAGAGCTCCGAGGCCTTTTCCACATCCGCGCAAACCCCCTTTCCACAGCTCAGGTCCTCCTCGCTCACAGGGGGGCTCGGAGGCGCCTCCTCCTCCTCCTCGCTGCTTAGGGAGGAAGCACCAAAGCCACGGCTGGGAGAAGGCTCTGAGACAGGTGGCACTGGGGTCTCACTAAAAGCTACTGATTGCTTTGAGCCCTCAAATGCAAAGTTAACACTGCTCCTCTCTGGCACTGCAGCCACATCCTCTCTGGAGAGAAAGTCACTCATTTTCTAAAAAGAAACGAATACACAAAAAAGGCCAGAGAGAGAGAGAGAGAGAGAGAAAGCGTTAGGGAGAACAGGAGGTCATGAAGCATAAAGGCAAAACATTGTTTTTTTATATCACATCTCCAGTAATGCATGCAACAGCAGTGGGTTTGGACACTTGAAAGCTTGAAAACCTTTGTGCTATGTGATGCATCCAGTGTATTTACTGACACAGCCTTCCTGGTAGAGCAATAATCCACTCTGCTAAGTTTAAGATATTAAAACAATTCTCTGCCATGAAATGAAGAGCCACCACTAAGCACTTTTTGCCCAGTTTGGAAACAGGAATAATTTCAGTGTAGTAAGTGGGGACTTGTGCACATCCAAAATTCACATGTGCAACAAAACCCACCGACTACATCAAAACCACACCCCAACTCTGCTTTTAACTCCTTGAAATATTTTATGTTGTATTTTATTTTGCACACGGAGGTGAAGAGAATAAGCCTAGAATTCATGGGCACGACAATCTGCAGAGCCTGTGCTTTACTCTTTTCTTCACCCCTGGGAATGGTCACACCTCCGAGCACCCTCTTTGCTGCTGCAGTCTCCAGGATAACGAACACAGACTTGTCATTATTGGCATTGATAACATTACTGTAAGAATAGCTACAAGCTAGTATTGAAATCATCCGCTTCAATTACCAAGAGGCTCCTGAATTGACGATGCAGTCTGGTCACCTGAAAAAATTTGTATTATTTTGTCTAGACAGACCAGTTCAATTAACTCGCACAACTTAGCACAAAACTTTTCAGCTGAGGAACAAAGAAATGCTGCTTTGAACTGAAAAGCCAGATGGTCACGTTGATGTCTGCTGAGCCCATTGCCACCGAGCATGCAGTTCAGTTTATTGCCCAACAAGCTACCTTTGACCATTCACTCAAGACTAACAAAACACTTGTAACATACTTTATCCCAAAAGCAGTTGGCGCACGGAAACCTTTGCAGGAGCTAAACATCCTGAAGGTGCAACATAATTGGCATTTGTGATGGTGCACGGGAGAGAAGACACGTAATGAAGCAACTGAGCCCTCCGAGAAGCAAGCAAGCATGTCTAGAGCACCTGAGGTATTTGGGAAGAGCGTGCCAAGCCAGAGGGTTTAACTAAGGCTGGTGCTACTCTGCTCCCCGTTCAGCTCGATAGCAAGGTCTCAACTAGGTCTTCTCACACCTCTGGGAGCCCTCTAGCCAGGAGGGAAGCAACAGTGACAGAAGAGAAGAGAAGAGTTAAAACATGAACAAGACAGAAAGCTTTAGCAAAAATCAGCTGTTTGCCCAAATGCCCGAGTGATAAATATTTCATATGCACAGAGAAGCAGCATTTCAGTCACCAGCAGCGAATGACGGCTACAGTCCTGCCCTGTGCTAGAAATTGTGTTTCTCTCATTACTGACATGAGAAGTTGCCTTCAAGGAAAGGCAGAACAAGCAGTTACAGGCACCTACAATTTTACATATATCGAAGCAGTCACATCATCCAGCATCAGGGAACAAAGAGGGGAAAAAACCCAGAGGGATGCTACTTAATGCCATTACTGGTTCTTCTCAATAATTAACCTCATGGTTGATTTCTGATAATTTTTTATAAATATAGCCACTTTTCTGTTCATCCAAAACCAGTGATTAAATCTTCATAAAAGCATGGCAAGTTCATTTTGTCAACTGTTACTCTAATTTTGGTGGTGGTATTAAGATGAACAGAAACTGCTGCCTCGCTTTCTATTAAGAAGATTCTCTGGGCAACCGAAAAAATGTAATTTGTGCTTAAAATGTGAGGTGTGAAGCCTGTGGGTTATCCAGTACAATTAATTTTCAGTACACCAGAGGCTTTCACCCTGACTGACCTCATCCAATGGCACAGTTCAACAGTCTGTCAAGAATAGGAGCTGCTTTATATAGGAACAAACAGATGCTTATTTTAGTATAATTTCAAGAAATGACTCTTCCACCATTCTTCCCGGGTGTTTTTCAGTTCCCTGCTTCTTTATGTTGCAGATAGATTACCTGTAAGATTTCTATCCATTATTATTTCCAGCCTCTTGGGCTACTCTTAATTTCTTGGGATATTGCTTAGCAAAACCCATTTAACAGGAGTGAAGGGACAGCGATCAGCACTGTGATGATCAGGTCACTCCACACACAGGGAAGAAGTGTTATTTCTGATCAAAAGCCACTTCCATACATGCTCCAACAAAGGTATATCCAGATCCCACTCACATTTTGCCTAATGCAAAATACTACACTGCAATATTTCACAAGACAAAATAGAAACAAAGGTTACCAGCTTTGAACACCTATGCCTTAATCTTGCTTTAAAAATGGGATTTATATACTGCCAATATACTGATCTCTCCTTAATTATATATGCTAAATCTTGAAAATTAATCATGGGATCTTGAGAAGATGCCATACAGCTTCTGGAGTTTAATGGAGAATGCCTTAGGAGCAAGAATTTCCTTAAATACCAGCTGGGGCACTATTTTGACCAAGAGGAAGAATGCAACCCAAAGATAAAACAAAGCAGATGAAGCAGCTACATAAGTGCAGATCTATTTAAGAGACAAACATTTGTACCCAGTCAAAACAACTTCCCAGCTCCCTTTTGTATACAGAAAAATAATTTGCATTTTAGAAGTATCTTGTATGGTAAAAACATAAAGGAAGGGAAAAGCTTAAATAAAGCCTATGGGATACATATACTGGTTGTCAGTAGCGCAAAGTGCGACAATAAACATGCAAGCTATAAAGACAGAATGAAATCCTGATAAGATCAACTGATCAAAAGCACTTTTTTTCTTGCCCTCCTACTCCACTGGGAAGAAGAGAGACTAATTGAAAGGTGTTTGTTTCTATATAAAATTTTCTATTTACACATACTTTTTTTTAAAAAAAAAAATACAACTATGTTTGTTCCTATACTTAAAAACGCAGTTTGCATGTAGGCTAGAAAAGATTATCTTTGTATAAGAAAAAAAGGAAACACAACCCAAAAACCCCCTAGGAATTTGAACAACTGTTACGAATTCTGATCTTATCAAGATTTATTTTAATTTGCAAATACAAAAGCATTTCTTTTTCGAGCGCTCAGATTTGCAGAGTTCCAAGCTCTCCTTGAGACCCAGGAAACCTGGGAGTGCCTGGGCTGCAAACTACTCATTTCCAGAGACACAAAACTAAACCAGGGGTGCCTAAATCAAACACGAAGCAGGCTATTCGCACAAGCCATACGCAGTGTAAAGAAAATACAGGACAGGATGCAGCACCCCAGAAGAAACAAATTGAACCAGACATGAATGCAACTAAAACATTACCCTGCTAAATACAAATCTTTGTGCACCTGATGTTGACAAATACTGACAATATAGCTTAATTTAAGCATTACAGTGTAAAAAGTGACACACAGTAATTCAGAATGGGGATAAATTAATAACAGGCTTAATTGCATGGCTGATACCAGTGACCAAAAGGATTTCTTTTTCTTTAAAAATGTTTTTGTATAAAATCTGTATTTTTTCAAGAACCTACTACTTTGGATCAGGATATATTCAAATGATCCAGCTGCCCTGAACTGCCAGAGTGGATCCCCGTTTTCTGCAGCCCATGCAGGCATGCTGCTGCCTCTCTCCCCAGAAATATTCAACCACCCTCATCCCATACCAGACTCCTGTCCTGCAGGGAACTTAAGGAATACTAAAATGAAGTCAATCTCCAAATACCAAAGACATTTGATAAAAATTGATAAAAACATTAAATTACAGTGCATACTAACTCCCTACAATGACCACATTAAATGCTAGAAATCCCAGCTAGTTAGTACTTCCCAGTCCCCTTCTTGTCCACTGCGGCACTGCCGTCCTTCGTGCTGGTGCGTGTTATTAGGTTATCCCCGAACACGTATCCACAGAAGCTGACAGGCTCGGTGTGACTGTCTACAGATGCACAAGTAGATGATGATGTTGCTTTTGCAGCAAAACACACTCACCAGTGAGAACTCCCAGATCAAATGATGCTCAATCTCACAGTTGTCAAAGCACTTGGTAAAAAGTGTTATAAAGCAGAAAACAAGAGATCCTTATTTTACAGTACCTGCTGCCCCTTATAGAACTGCTTTGCCTTAAAGATAGAAGTTAAACAGTTTAGAAGCCATTCAACAAACACTGGCATTTGAAAATGATGGCCATTACCTACGGATTCGCAGCTTCGGATGGATTTTGTAATTGCCATTGATCTGATCACAACACCCTGACCAGCCCAGTCAAAATCAAGAAGGATGAAAGAATTTCACCAAAGTTAAAACTAAGGCTAGAAAATACACATCATGCTACAAGCTTAAAAAGATTAAACTGTTGTCATGAACAAGAATCCCAGGATATTACATGATACACAGCAGTCAGCCTACTGCATCAACAATTTGGCAACACGAAACAACCTCAAGATCAATACTTAGATTATTAAAATAAGGTTGCTGAGCAATATGATTCCTCTCCCCATCCATCCTGATCCCCTTCCCATCCCTTCTGTAGGGCAGATACCCTTGGATGAGAGGCTTCTTATTCCAAATTCCCTCTGCAGACAAGCTGCTGCTAGTAGCATTGCAAACACCGTCTCCGGTTTAGCGTAGCAGCAGCAAGTGAAAAGAGTGGGGATACCATCAGGGTTTATCACTGACATCAAGTTTATGCTGCTGCATTTCACTTGCATTATTTCATAAAGTTACAGCTCTGCTCTGGTGCCAGCCTCATCCAGGAGAGCAGCAGCACAATCACAGCCAGACTTGCTTTCCTGTGATCACTCATGACAGCACAGGATGAGCCCAACTGTTTATCCAGAAGTAAATATTCTCACAGATGAAAAGGTGGGAATTAAAATAAAGACTGCCTCTTGATACAACCCTAGATACAACCTCAGGCAGCTTCAACCAGCTAAAACCCAACCAGAGCCTTGCATTGTATTACCAAGCAGAAAGGCGCTGGTTAATTAGGAACATGGTTTCTTCACTTAAAAAAACAGAAAGGCACATTTGTGTCCTTAAATTAACACAACGTGCAGAGCAGAGACTCTTGCAGGTGCATTGTGCAGGACCTGCAACACTTCTGCTCCAGGGACAACTTTCTGCAAGCTGTTTTTCCTGTCCTTCAGTCTCAGAAGCAAAGAGGTAGAACTTGGTAGTGTTACATTAAGTATTTGCTAGAGGGCTGAACCTTTTGAACCCTCTGCAAACAAAGCCTTTCTTGAACCAAACTAGATTTAATCCTCAATCAAATTATTCTGGACAGTTTGAGAACATGCACTGGTTACAGCCACAGTCTTGCATGTGCCCTCTCCCCAGGAGCACAAAACCCACACTTGAGAGTGTCCAGCAGACCCAACACCCTGAATGCAAGCGGTAATGACCTGGGGTCTGATGGCTCCTGCTTTGAGAAAGCAACACTGAGGGTTAGTCCCAGGAAGTCGTTAACACAAGTCACATATACCTTTTTTGTTAATAAGCAGTGGAAAGAAGAATCTGATTTGCAATAACATTTATTAATGATAAATGTACATATTTACAAAGAAAAATCTGAGAAAAAATACAAAACCGAAAAGGTGTTCCAAAAGAGAGCATTTTAGGTAAAAAAGAAAGTGGTTTTAGTCCCCACAAACTGATCCAATGTGACATGTACCACTGGTAGAAGATCCCAAAGTGGCATAAACCAAGGCTAGTCATTCCCTCCAGCTTCACAAACCAGGACAGATGCAAACCGGGACCCAAGAGAAACCACTATTGTGAGGTTCTCCAAAGTCACCCCCTGGTAAATGCAGATTAAAGAGTTTCTAAATGAATCCATTATCTGTCTTTGGGCTAAATTTTTCCAGAGAGCATCCTACCTCAGTCTGTAAATCAGAACAGGTGCCGTTAACTCATGGCCAGGAGAAAAGAAAACCCAATAAACCAGTGGAATAATTCTCAGAGTGACACATTACTGACTCTTACGTGAAGTGAAAAACACTTTACCCATAACCTTCCTGAGAAGCCCCACGGAATGGACAGAGCAAGGCCAGCCCAACCTCATTCCTCCAAACTTTGGTGCCACACCGAGGAAATCCACCTCTCCTCATTATTTCAGGATAGGAGATAAATATTGAATACCTACTTTTCAGGGTCGTCACTAGTTACCACACAAACTGCAAGGAAGGAGAGCTCATCTGAGCTTAACTCCATACCCTAAACCTGACCTGCCCACAGAGAGGCCTCAGTTCATCATCTTACTGACCCACAGTGCAAAGCAGCACACAGCAGGAGATGCAGACAGTACCCTCATTTGTCTGTTCACCTTTAATAACAGAAAAGCAAAAAACGGATGTTATTTTACAGTAACCTACACCTTGAATATCAACAATGATCATCACAGACAGAGCCCGATATCTAACGCAGCCTCAGAGCTGAATCCGGCTTTGAAGCAATCAGCTCTGGCACACTTGCTGCTTCAAAATACTAACGTCCACCTTTTCCTGAAGTATGAAAGCACAAGAATCTACTCTGCATTTTATCTCATGTTGAGAAGAGATGGTATCAGGGTAAGAAGATTCAGAAAGTGAGTGCAGAGCAAACCACCAACTTCGTGATGGAAAACGCTGAAGCCTCAACAGCCGCTAAGTGGATCTCACACATGAGCACCAAAGAGCCCTGCTGCAGCCGAGTGGCCACACCATGAAACACTGGGAAAGTCTAATTAAACACCAAAACTGCTGGTAGTCTTATCATAGCTATGACACCGGCCTGGCAGAGTCATTGAAATGTCATTTTCTGCAGCATGTCACACTGAAAAATCAGGATTTCTCACGCCAACCTGGATGAGGTTACGTGCTGTGGACATTTCCAGCTTCCCCTTGGACGAGACAATTCAGTTCTCCCTCACTCACAGGCTGGCCCGGCACCAGCCACGTACAAACAGGGTCCATCAATCCCACCACCGCTCGGGGTCAGTGGCAGTGTCGGGGCAGGCAGCCGGGAGGGCTGCCAGTGCTTCCCAGTAAGTTTGTTCCTGAGGAAAAAAGGGAGCAAAGTACACGCGTTGGTTCCTCTACGAAAACCCTGAGACCTCTGCCCTTACACAAAGCTACAGCAAATCAACTCTCCCGGTGCACGGGTACAACAGCAGGCACCCCGAAATCCCTTCTTTCAGCACCGCATCCTGCGGGGACATCAAGGGAAAAGGGTGAAACCAGGAATCAACCAGCACAGCACCAATGTGTACGAGATACATAATGTGCAGGAACAAGACCTTATGTGGTCTGTAACTTCCTTTGCCTTACAAGCAAACGAGGAATAAAAGCAGAGAAGGGACTGGCAAAGGGGCTGGAGCAGAGCGGGCACATCACTGCGGCATCGAACGGATGAGGTTTCTGTTCCTGATAAGCTACAGGCTTCCTCTGTCGGAAGAGATCATATCCACCCGGATGAATATAGATAACTGGACTCTAAACTGCCATAGAAATATAAAGCATTTGTTCAGTTTCTTTATACTCTGCAGTGATAATTGTTATATAAATCTCCAAAATGTTCCTGAGCATTCTCAGAATGTAAAGTTTCAAAGTATTTTTGCTGATGACACCCAGCCTTATCTCAAGATTTAAAAAAAGAAAAAGCAAGAGAGACACCGTTTTAATTAAGAAGATAAAGAATTGCGTTTAAGTAACAGAGTGCATCTCTCATCACTCTGCGATGATACCCTGAGCACTATATTCAAACATTGCTCTGGGCAAAGATTTCTAGACTTCAGGTCCTTTAGAAATGGTATGATAGAGCTACAGAAACCACAGCTTTGCAAGAGCCACTGGTATGGCTTCAAAGTACTTATCATCAGTTCAGAAAGACAGCATGCAGTAACCTCAACTGCGCTCAAAGCAGCATCACAGCAGCTAACCCGAGCGATGGCTTTTGTAAAGGAAGCAGGTGTGTGTTTAAGCTGCTCTTCTCCAGGAAATATGGACAGAAAATGGACAGAGAAAGATCCAACCAACTCCTGTCCCTTCCCTCTCCACGCCGGGTTGGCAAGAATGAACACTCCCTGGTTTTCATCATGTCTGTTCCAACTTTGGGAAGGAGATTCAGGCAGGGAACCTCAGCCAGAAGCATCCCCCAGGCATCTTCCATCTTGCACCTTCTGCACAGCATGTGGCACCTCAGCATCCTCCCCCACCTCTCCTCTCCAGGGCCCACCTTCTCCAGATAGTCTTCCTAAACTTCACGCTGAAGCTCACTGGAGTTCAAGTGCTTTCTAGGGCGTGCTCCTAGGATGCAGGCACGCAGCCCAGCGAGCAGCACCGTCCGTCCGCTGCCTGTGCCGAGCACGCCGGCCGGCCGCGCCGCCGACAGCTCTCCCTCGCGCCACGGTACGCCTGCGCCACCACCCAGCGACTTCTACACTTCCAACTGCTGAAAGAGGAAGACTGTGTATTAAAGGCAGTGCGTTAAAAAGGGAAGAATACTTTCTAATGAAAAATCAGCATCCTCACAAAACAAAGTCCTAAAGGCACAAACTGGTGAACTCATTGGAGCAGGTTACAAGAGTAATTGGAAAGATTCCTGCAAGATTAAAGTGAAGGGCTTCACTAGCAACCTAAGTTTCTGAGACAGCATTTAGAGAGCCTCAACCTGTACACTGAGAGCAAGAGAGGCAGCTCAAGTGGTCCGTGATACACCACGGCCCTTCAGATCAGACAGCACATGCCATATTTGCTTTAAGTCTTCTTCCTGCAAGCTTATCTGCTAGCTTCCTAAATAACACTGTTCACACAGATACAGATCTATAAAGGGATATAAATACATGTATTTATAGATATTCACACATTTTAGTCCCTGTAATAAAGGTCTACTCCTTTCTCTTCTGTGCTGCTGGAGCAGCTCCCAACAATGATGGCACTGGTGGCTGTTCTCTGGAGTAACTGTGTCTACACCAATCCTCCAGAGAAAGCAACAGAAAGCAGATTACTACCGAAAGGAGAAGCGGTTGGCTCAGCTCAGTCCTGTAAGTACTATATACAGAAAAGAAACCCCTTAGACACAAAGTCCCATCTTCCCTCCAGCTCGCAAACCAGTTCTGCTCAGCCCAGCTGGGCAGCTCATCTTGGAGCCTACACAGCTCAACCAGGGTAACTCGGATAAATGTGAGCATCATCCAGACATTTACATTTGTAGGCAATAAACAACAGGCGGCATGCAAGGGTTTTGTTAGAGAAGTCAAAACAATCGATGGCTTTAACATTAGAAGTGTGTCCTGATGTGGTAAGGTCAACATGCTAACAGAGGAGACGTACCTAACAGCAGGTTACTCCATTCCTGTGACCTAAGCAAACATGCGTCAGTTAGTTCAACACAAATTAAATAAAACACATCTGAAGCATCAAGACCACCAGATTCAGAAAAACGATTAATCTATGTTTACAATAAATATTTCCTTGCAATGGGCTTTGTCCTATAACACAACGTATTTTCTTGGAAACGAGAATAGGGGTGCAAGAAGGAAGCTGCGATGCTTTGCAAAAAGCTTCCCCCACTGGGAAAATGAAAACTTGCCTGTCCCTGTCTCTAAGTTAACACTAACAGCAGCATTGACAATCAGCACTTTTTATTTAAATACCAATCTTAGTTTCCTAGAAAAGGAGTGGTTATGGATTAGATTCAACAGATTACTGTAAAGCCTCTGTCGGATCAGTATCAAATGTTCTTCAGCTTGTGAACATATAACTTTTAAAACAACAAGCTTAAAAGCAAGTCTTCAGCAACTCCTATGTGGCATCTCCAGGGGCTGAAGAAGCAAATGTCTCCTCCCACGTGTTTACACTCCCCGCCTGCCCTCTTACAGCAACCAGGAGCACGGTTCAGAGAATTTGTTTTTGCGCACTAGGAAACTTCAAAATGGAACTGGCAATCCATGACCACTCCCTGCCAGGTCCCGGATCAGAGCTACACAATGACACACAGCAGGATTAACACGACAGTCGCGGGCTGTCCCTCCCCAGGACAGCGAACTACGGAGATCAAAGACCAGGACAAGGAAGATGCAGCAGAGGCTACGGACAAGAAATTCAGGAGCTTTGGTCTTGAGGTTTCAACATGACCCTGTTGCCACTCAGAGAAAGAGCAGCCACCAAACAGTCAGTGCTACGACCAGGAGAAAGGACATCATAAAGGGAATATGTGGAGAAGGAAAAATGCTAGAGTACAGCTGACACTTTTTGAGTGATTTCTGCTCTTCAGGAATTGGAATAGAAACCTTTGGAAGAGTTTCTTCACTTGCTTGCCGGGGAAAGGCTGTCTCAGGAGGTATCGCCTGCTTTTTTAGTTTGTCTTCATCCTGTACTAACAGAGGACGTTCCTGTGTCTGCTTTCGTGGTAGAAGATCAAGAAAGACAGAGAGAGATGAACAAAAATGACAGATGGAAAGTGCCCAAAGTGATACTTGGAGGTGTGCAAAGCGTTAGGGGCAGCCTTCTCAACATAAAAATAAACTGCTGTGGAGAGCAGAGCTGCTGGTTGCTTGGGTTGCACCAGCCTTAGAGCTACAAAATCTACTCCTCCCTGCAGAGCTCATGAACATCTGGATCAGGATCGTGTGTGTTTTGTCCCAAACTTCTGGATCATGATCACACGGGCTTTGCACCTGCCCTCCCAGAGAAGTGTATGCTCAAAACCTACTGAAGTCTTCTGGAATTGGAATGGTTGAGAAAAAAGTTTGTGGCATTAGAAACAGAAATGGCGTAGTACAAAATGTGGTCTCTGACAGCTTCCTAGTCTACATTGCCCTTAAAAAATAGCATTTGTTAAATATCGTTGAACATCCAGACTGCAGTGAAGATACAAAAGGCTTTTTCAAAGTTCTGACAACAGTATCAAAATTTCGATGGTTTTGAAAATTCTACTGGAACAAGTGAAAAATTGTTGATCTTAGAAATCCTGTGTGTGGAATAGCCAGGATGGCAGTAGGAGCATTGCAAACTCCTTAAATTTTCCTCTGCATTTTAGCTCTTTTTTTTCTGGAGTCTAAAGAATGTAAAAAAACAGAATGAGTACATCGTCACACGGGATCATGCAAGGGCTCTAGCACTTCTGTTGAAGAAAGAAAAGATTGTGGGAAACATTGCTGTTTAGTATCTCTCCATCCCTTTAATTTGCCAGACCTGGTCAAAGCCAAGTGCGCCTAGGAGAGGAAAAACTTGGCTCTGAGCTCTCTCAGTTGAGCTAGCCTCCTTTGATCAGTGCGGTATTTTGGGACTGTTTCTTTGCACACCCCTAAGTGATGAGTATCAGGGAGAAAGTAGCTGGGAGACTGGGCAGCAAAAGAAAATATAAAATGCAAGAGTAACATGATCATTAAAACAAAAAACGGAAAGAAAGACAACATAAAAAGAACAGGGTACAGTTAAACTTTCATAATTGCTTTTCTCTCTCAATACACGGTTATATCTTTCATGCAGCTTTTTCGAACCAGCCATGCACCAAAGTAAGCAAAATCGAAAGCTGCAAAAGCTGCAGCGGTGCAAAAGTCCTCTCGGTGTGAGTTATGAAACTACTTCATGTAGCCAAAAGAAAAAATGTTATCCAGCAGCTGCTGTTGAGTTTTTGCTCGGTGCCATTGCAATAGCAAAAGTCTGGTTCAGAAGCACATATCAGAACAGCAGCTTTACCTCAAGCCCACCAACCTGTCTCTCAGAAGATAGGACAGTGACTTTCTTGACCTGGACACACAAAGCGTGTTAAGGTTCAGTTGTCTTGCAATAAAACACACAGGAAGAGCAGAAAAGCAGCCCCTGGCAGAATACCCTCCAGCCACTACAGTAGGGTGAAGATACCACCAAGAACAGGAGAAACAGGATTGCTTTGCATCTTTAAGCGACTCACCATCCTTCAACATTAAGTGATCTTCCGTAACCAATAGTAATGGTAAGTAATCATTAAGTGATTTACCATCCTTTAACATGTGCAGGTGAAAGAAAACACCCTCCCCAGCAGGTGCCTGCTGAAGATGCGTTTCTGGAAGCTCATGACAGAATGTGTCCACCTTCACCTCAGAGCAAGACCACTTCAGAGGGGATCAGATTAAGAGGGAATTTCCAGAAATGCAAATCCAGGGCTGACACCAATTCTTGCATCGCTGTGGCCCACTGCAGCCTTAAATGGGGAAAGCCCACAGCATCCAGTTATCATGAATAGCAGCCCCCCAAAACCTCACAATGGGCTCACCATGCAAGAAATTCTTCATAATAACCAAGAATGTAATTCCTGAACTGCAGCTGTGGAGCTCGAGAGCCCCTACTCCATCCCAGCCGCACACCCATAAATCATGTGGCATCGCGGGCAGAGCTCTGCTTCGCTCTACTGCCCAAATTCCTGCTGAACTTACACTGAGACTCAGCAACCAAAGAGAAAAGCCCATCCATGGGTTAAACAGGGTAATTCCAAGGATAATGACCAACACTCATTAGTTCATTTTGGGGGAAAAGCAGCCCTATAATTGTCATGGCTTTTCTCTGTGCTTTGAGGAGCCTGTAAACTTGGCCATTAAAACCCCTTGTACCTGTTCTAAAAACCCTCCATCCACTGCAAGATTATTTCTGTTCAAAAAGTATCTCCCTTGCAAGGGTTTGAAGATGAAATGCAAGCTTGTCTGAAGTGCTTTGGGTAGCAAGGGGAGAAGCTAGGCTTAAACCAGGAGAGACTTTATGACTGCCACCACTGCGGCCAGGATGCAATTTTTCAGTTGTAATGAAAAATCGCATTTAGTATTTAAGAGACTGATTACCATGGACTCTAACTACAGTTTTACTCAGAAGCTTCAAATCTGAATGAGGTAACACCGGTATTAAACAGAGCAGCTGTCTGTTATCCAAGAAGAAACCAGTTGGCAGGCAGATCTTTGCTGCTCCAACTTGGTTTCTTTGAAAAATTACCTTTTTAAGGGAATTAGCAGAGAAACAGTGAGTGTATGTGGCTACTAACATAAAGGCACTGTTCCTGTAAGGAGAAAGATTTCCATCATATATGAGCAGCCCTGCTGTAGCCACCTGAGGAGTCTTCTTGACGCCTCCACAGCAGATCAGCACCTGCAGATCCTAATGCAAGACTAAACCCAATGACATACTGGATTAACTGGAGAATAAAGTGACTTTTGAAAACTGAAAATACCATCCTAGTGCTTCTTCACGGGGTTATCTGTAATATTATCTCTGAAGTAGTAAGTCCCTTTAAACTTGGGTGTCCGGGTTTCAGGGGTTTTTTCCACATTTTGGGGAGATGCGTTCCCTGGTACCAAGAATATGCCAGTCCCCAAAACAGCCATGTGAAATAAAGTCTAGCATCATGGATGACAGCAACACTAGGAAAAGCAGCATCAAAACCAGGTAAAGAATCCTGACATTCTTTTCTATCAAAAAGATCACATTTTTATGATACTACAACTAAAGCATCGATGCTCTCAGAGGTCATTATACATGTTAGAAGTCAATATTAACTATTAAAATTCAGTAACTAGGGGGAGCTGGGGCTGAATCCTAGGTTGCAAAGCTGTCCCTTGGAACAATGCAGTGCACCCAACACCCACACGCCGCCGAGGTACTCACTCCATCTGCTCCCATGGGAATCTGCCCGTTGACATTGAGGGTTCGGAAAGGGGAGTGAGTGGACAAACGTTTGTCCCATTCACTCGGCCGAGGCTCCGGGACGGACTCCATAAAGTTCTTCTTCAACTCACTGATGTTGGCGTGATGCTTCTTTATTTCTTCTTGGGTCTTATCTAGATCCTATTAGTAAAAGGACACGATAAATGAAGAGACACGGAGCTGACACCTGCGATTGCCTAGGCGGCTGCATAGCAAAGCTGCGCTCAGCAGAGTTGTTGCCGACTTCCATCCATTGTGCTCACACTGCAAGCACACAAAGGGAGCGTCCTCTCTCCTCTTTCCTCTTGCATTAATTGGGATAAGCTGCAATGGGCACAGAGTGGGGTTTCCTCCACGAGCGGGATGTGCCGCCGGTTCATCTCAAGCCACACCAACAGAGATGACAGCTGAGGTATAATCTCACAGGTTTTCCCCATAAGGGATATTTTTAGGTTGCAAGACTATGTTTGTTTGAGTTATTTAATTTAATGCCTTTAAATTGGGTGGGTTTCTTTTCTTTTCCCTCTGTTAACCTGAATATTCATGGGTATAAATGCAATTAATGTTTAAGAAAAAGTTTTTCCAATTTTATTTATTCTTTTCATACCTATTTCTCTTTCATCCTACCAGGAATTATCTTGGTCCCAGAATACTCCTATTACCTTTTTTCCCCCCCTCATCTCATCACTCCAGGAGCTACCACAGGAGGTTTCAGACTTCTGAAATAAAGATGAGATGATAGCCCTTTAAAAATAAAACCGAGAATTTACTTTATGCTAGATCGATCAAGAAACTCCTGCTAAAATTCTTAATCTGGAAAAAGCCAGATTTCTATTCTTTGATGCTAGTTTACAGCATAAATGCCCAGACTTCAAGGCAAGTCAGCTCTCTTCAACTTGTTTAAAAACAGCTTTTCCTTGCAAGCAAAGAGTTTGTTGAAAACAAAGCTTTTGCATAAAATAGGCACAAGCCAAACAACAACTTTTCTGGACAGTGACAAAAAACAGCAAGCCTCACCCATCAGAAAGAGGGAAATTAAGGTCAGTAAAAGCATCACTGGAAAATTTAACTTTTTTTGTTCTTGTAGTTGTTACTCAGCCCACTGACTTTAGATGGGAGAGCAAATGCATCCCCCTAAAGGAGGGTGCCCCCCCTCAAATATCTGCGTCCCTGCAGCTTACCCAGGACACAGCACCCTCCCTCCACAGGGCTGTAGCCCCAAATGCTTCATTAAACAAGATCTGCTCTTTTTGGCATGGTTCTTGGGGGAAAAAAAAAAAAAAAAAAAAAAGGCTTGGGCATCCAACCCGGATGAAAGCACAAGGCAAGTGCTTGCTAGTTACAACAAAACAAAAGCACAAGTCAGTCTGCTGAGGACTCCAGGGTAAAGCCCTGCCCGGGTCCAGGACCCCTACAGCTGCTCCTGGTTTAGAGAAGAGAGAAAGACCACCTTGGCTATTCACCACTGCGCAAGAGCTGGTCCTGGGAGGGTTTGCAGAGAAGCTAAAGCCACGAGGAGCTACGTGGAGCCACAACGGGTCGTGAAAGCATCTCGAGGAACAAGCTCACTACGCATTAATGCTTTTCCTCCTGTTTTGCCCTTTTTGTAAGAACATGGAGCGCAGGTTATCAAGCACAGAGTGTTAAACAGCTTTCAATAAAATCAAGCGGCAGCTTTGAGAGTATAAGGTCTGCTGGAAAAAAAACATCTACTCTGCCAAATGCATGGATTTAAAAAAGAAAGAATAAAGGGGGTGAGCTGCTGGGGTCAGCCCATTTCTAGGGGAGGGCTGGAGCACCTGCAACAGAACCAGTGGGAAGGGCAGCGGAGAGGGAACAGGCTGGAGAAGGGGCTGGGTGCCAGAGCCAAGTATTGCACTCACAGGAAAAAGGGGTTTAGAAGCAATGAAAAAGCTCTGTTTGGGCTTGGGGAGATGGAGCTGTTTGAGTTGGGCAAAAGAAAGCGACAGGCAGAGTCTTCAGAGCGCTCTGGCGGCAGCTGAACCCTGCCCATGGTGCTGCAGACCCTTCACTTGTGGCTGAATGCTTAAATTGTAGCAATCAAAACTTAAAAAAAAACCCAACCAACCAACCAACCAAACAACAAAAAACCCACCCAAAAGCTGCAAAACTTTTAAAATTGAGATTAGGAGAAGGCAGTTAGTACACTTCACTTGCAAGAGATACCACCAGGGAAGCCCTACCAGCTGCTGGTGCTGCAATTTTGAGTAGAAACACATAACACAGAGTATCAGAAGCCACAAAACATCTTCTGTAACACAGTGTATTAAAAAAAATAAAATATACGATTGGCGTGGTCTGTTCTGAGACTGTGCTTAGGCGAAACCAAGTGTAGAGGGCTCCCAAAGCTGAAGGGAACAGCTGTATGCAGAGGGATAAATGGCTTGTTGCCCACTCGCAAGCCACCCATGACCACCGAGCCCCCGTGTCAGCTCCAAGGGGATCTGGCACCGATGCAGGATGGAGCTCTGGGGGAGCGTTAAGATGCTGCAAGGCAAGCAAGCCCTGGGAGGAGGATTGCAATGCTGCAAGCATCGCTGCAACGCCAGCAGCAACGTCCGAAAGGAGGACACACTCCTGCCTGAAGCAACATGGACAGCGTGGTGGCCTGAACACCGTGGAGGTGACAATTTTACCTGCAGCTTATCCTGAATTTTGCATTTTCATAGACTGCCCCAGGAAACTAATTTACTGCAAGCAAGGAGAAACTTGTAAATGAGCCCCCTGCCCTGATTCATGCCATTGTGAGCACCCAGCGGGTCCAAGAGCAGACCTGAGCACACAGCTCTGCCAATCATATATTCTGGGTAAGTATGAGAGAATGAAAGTCAGAAGAGGTAGAAGGAAGAATGCCTGCACATTGTCATGTTCAACGTCATCATGCAAAAGCATATTTAAAATTAAAAAAAAAAAAAAAGGTCTTTCATGCAACCGCATGCAAAAACAAAGGTAGCGGCAGAAGAGGAAGGAAAGTTCAGCGCAGATGCAGAATGTCTAGGCAAACGCAACTGAAAAAAGCTTCAAGTTCATACAAACCTCCAACATTAAATTGCTATGCCTGATATAAATGTTTTCACCATCTAGCCTCTTTGATCTTTTCTGTGAAAATGAAAGAAAAGGGGGAAACAAAAAAGAAAAAAAAAAAAAAAAAAGAAAAGCACAAAAAATTAAAATGTTGTTCTTGCGGGATTGACAAATTGGCAAATTAAAAAAGTTAACTCAAGGTTGGGAGTGCAGCGCTGGGCCAGCGTGGGGTGGGGACCCGGCGTGGGGCCTCCACCAGGAAATGGGGGGTTCTTGCTCATGGAGAATGGGGAAATGCAATGAGTCCTTTAAAGAGACAGCTCCCAGGGGTTCGGCGGCTTTTGCCTTCATTTACGTCTCTCACCACAAAGAGAGTTTACTGGTTTTCTGGGGAAGCCTTGCACAAAGTCACCACTTCGTATTCCTGACAGCGACGCCTGCCCACCCCAGCGTGCGAGGCTGAACTGCCTGGTGTAACTTTGACAAGTCCCAGTGTGCACAGCAACTATGTCTTAATCACCTTTCTCATGTTGAATATGTCCCCTATTACTTAATCAATGCAAAAACCGCATTATACTGTGGGGTTTTTTTGTATTTCCTGGAATGCACACTGTACAGTTTTCTTTGGTTTCTAACTAAATTTTTTACAGAGAAGATAAATTTTATAAATTAAACCAAATGTGTTTCTCTTCAACATTCAACATGCGTAATTTTAGCAATCGGACTAAGGGACAAAAATATTGTTCATTTTGAAATCAAATATTTGATAGTTGCAGTTTAAAAAACAAAACAAAACAAAACACAAAACCCCAACCCAGAGCACATTAAGTTGGAGCACTGTCTTTTTAAACAGGTCACAGATGCATGAATGATATGGCAAATTTGGTGAAAGTGTAAAATGGCTAACCTTCCTCATTCTTATCAGTTCTTCCTCTTTTTCTGCAGGCTGCTGCTGTTGGGCAGTGATAAAAAAAAAAAATGTTGGTTCATTTAACTGTGTTGAACCTCACTGTTTCACCTTCAAAAAAATGTGAGCAACCTAACTGAATTAATTAGCACAAACCTGGGGCTGGTCACCATTCGTGGTGGGTACTGTGACCTCAATGTGCGTTTTCCTCACCTACATTTAAGAAATAAATTGGTAAAAACATTTCTTGTTAGTAGACTTCTTTCAAGAGACCATTTAGTTTCAAAACACAGCTGCATAAAGTTGGTTTTGAAATGCTGGGTGAACATGCAAAAACCAACATGCAGTCCTCCGGAAAGAGTTAACGACACCGCAGCTCTCACAGTCTGTTAGTTAACAGCACATTTACAATAATTCCTTCAGCTTGAGAATTATTTGCGTTTGAAACCAGTGCTCTCCAGTGCTTCTGAAGAAGGGCTTTCCATTTGCATTAGCTTTGCCAGGCAATGTTTTCAAATTTCATTTGCAGCTGGACCTCCCAGTGCAATTTGTACCAAAAGCAACATGCTCAAATTAACACAGACCTTCTCAAAACTAGAAAATTATTTGTTACGCACAGGTATTATATTCACAGAGTAAGTAAGAAGAGACTTATCTACAAAATGAAGTCTAACATCACAAATTAAGTTCTTTACTGTCCGTAAGCAGAGAGCCAAGATTGTTGTAACACTTTAAGGAAAGTATTTTAGGGAAACTGGATTGCCAAATACTCTGAAGGCAAAAGCACTGGTGGGTGTTAAAAGAAGCAATAAAGTTACATTTGAGAAACAGGGTAAATTTGGCACCTTCAGATCCATAATTTCCTCCCACATCTACATTTAAAGAAAAAAAAAAAAAAACAGTGTTTAAGCATTTAGAAAAAAATCCTGTAATAAATGAAATGGGATGAATAAAATATACTTGTTCTCAGTTTAATGCTAGGGAGGGTGAGCAGCCATGCAGAAACAGCATTACAGGAACTGTGTGCCATGATGCACACTGCAAACTGCCAGCCTGAATATCCCTTCAGCATTTTCATTTAAAAATTACTGGTCACACAGGCCACAAAAATTTTTGAAGCAACTGTCCTTTCTCCACCTCCATCTCCCAACCTTAATTAAGAGTGATCTCCCCTGGAGTATGTCATACAAAACCCACTGTGTGATATGTTCTAGCAAAAACATGGTACCAGTAATGCTGAGAACAGCTAAATATACAGAGTAATGTGAAAATTGTATCATCTTCTGCTGCAACACTGGAACGTTTTAAGATTTGCAGAATATTAAGGACACTGTAATATGAACAGTGATTTTGCATATTATTTTGACTTATGAGAACAATACACATGTATCAACATCAGCAGAGGTCTCAATCTTTTGTAGAAAAATCAAGTAACTTATAAAAAAATTTCATTTAAACAATAAACCCCCCAAGGTCTTAACAGTGCCATTCAAAACCAAAGTTTTAGTCCAGTTTGCAGAAACATATTAACAGCTCTCCCAGAGAAAGCCTATCAATGTAAAAAACATTTGCATTCAGACGCTGGGCTGTGGACCAGATCTGTATCACTGATTTCACTGGAATTGCTCCTGCTGTCGTAGCAGGAATCAGCAGAGACAGCCCAGCAGTGAGTGAGCCCTAAACTGAAGTACCATGAACCCCTGTGCAATTCTTGCCAGCTTTTTTAACCATGTGACAGCAAGCTGCATTTAGTTTGACCGCAGCCACCCCGAACCTCCTCCCTCCTTGCACCCAGAGGGTCAGGGCAGGGATTTCCCTGGGACCCAGACCCCTCCGACCCCACTCCCACCCGATGCCTGGGTGAGGAATAAACCCCTCACTGCCTGGGAGGGGAAGGTGCACAGAGCTGCTGCTCTGGGGCAGCTTCTAGAGCTGATGTTTCAGGCGGCACAAGCGCAGCCTCCTCCAGGAAGACTCTGGTCTGACATACCTTCGATGCATCGGCTGGTTCCGGCTTGGCTTTCTCTGGTGGGATTTCTTCACGTCTCACATCGTGTTTCACTGTTTCCTTTTCTACTTTAGATGCAGCGACCGTGTCCTTCACGCCAGGCTTAGCTGGGACTGGCTCTGCAGCGTGACTCTGAGCGATGGCTGGGGCAGAGGTGGGACGGGGACTCCTCTCAGGGGTTATCACGGCCACTGCTGAGGATGGGGGAGAGACAGACAGGGACAAGGTTCAGAGCAGGCAATGTTTCCAACAAACTAGTCAAAATCTTTCTAAATTACAGTGCTGTTGCTTAAAAAGAAAGGGAGGAGGAAGAGGAAAAAAGGGAAAAGAAATACAGATGTTGAGCAAAGCAGCTTGTGCATTTAGTATGGGAAAGTTGAGATTATTTTCCTTACGGTTTAAATAAAATAAAACCCCACAACAGATGGTTTACAAAAAGCAAGCTTGCACTCTGCTGAGAAGCCACACCAGAAACGCAAATCTATTTTTGACACTGTGCCATCAATTTCTGGGTCCTTCACACACAACAGACACAGAAGTCCATCCCAGTGCAGTCATTAAAACAGAAACACTTATAGCTAAGGGGAGGTCTTGACTCATTGGCATCTCCTCAACCAGAAACAGATGCTTTCTAGAAGGGCAACACAGGCTCTCTCTCATCTCCCCAATTTTTTCAGCAATTAAAGCAAAAAAAATAATCGACAAGAATTGATCTATAAAACTTGACAGCGACTTCCAGGTGGGTTTCAAAGCAGGCTGGGGCTGCATGTTCGATGGGTATCTCCTGCTGCAGTCCAAGGCACTGCTGCAAGAAGATACCCAGCATCTCCAGATCAGTGACAGTGCAGAAATGAGTATCATGCTGCCAAAAAATCATCTTTCCAGGGGATGACAGTCCTAAATACAAGCACTAAGTACACACAAAATCAACTGCCTAGTCCTTTGCTTTGATTCCTGACTTCCCAGACTGTTCCCAATCCCTGAAAAGCCCAACATCTCCAAAATATTCGTAAAATCATAGAACAGTTTCAGTTGGAAGGGACCTCAAGGATCACCCAGTCCCACCCCCCCTGCCCCGGGCAGGGCCCCCTTCCCCCAGCCCAGGGGGCTCCCAGCCCCGTCCAACCTGGCCTTGAACCCTTCCAGGGAGGGGGCAGCCACAGCTGCTCTGGGCACCCTGGGCCAGCGCCTCACCCCCCGCACAGGGAGGAATTTCTGCTTTACATCTAATTTAAAGCTACCGTCTTTCGGTTTAAAACCATCCCCCCTCATCCTACCCCCACCCCCTGATCCAGAGTCCCTCCCCACCTCTCCTGTCCCCCCTTTAAGCCCTGGGAGGCCACTCGAAGGTCCCCCCGGAGCCTTCTCTTCTCCAGGCTGAACCCCCCCAACTCTCTCAGCCCGGCCCCCCAGGGGAGCTGCTCCAGCCCCCCCAGCATCTCCGTGGCCTCCTCTGGCCCCGCTCGAGCAGCTCCGTGTCCTTCTGCTGTTGGGGGCCCCCGAGCTGGCCCCAGCACTGCAGGGGGGTCTCCCCAGAGCGGAGCAGAGGGGGACAATCCCCTCCCTGGCCCTGCTGCCCCCCCTGCTCTGGCTGCAGCCCAGGACACGGGTGGGTTCTGGGCTGCGAGCGCACGGGGCTGCCTCACGGGCAGTTTTCCCCCCACCAACCCCCCCAGCCCCTCTCCTTGGGGCTGCTCTCCAGCCACCCCTCGCCCAGCCGGGGTTTGTGCTGGGGATTGCCCCGACCCACGGGCAGGACCTTGCCCTTGGCCTTGTTGAACCCCAGGAGGTTTGCACAGTCCCCCCTCTCCAGCCTGCCCCGGTCCCTCTGGATGCCATCCCTGCCCCCAGCGTGTCCCCCCACCACACAGCTCGGGGTCGTGGCTGAACTTGCTGAGGGTGCAGCCACCCCACTGGCCCTGTCACTGACAAAGATGTTGAAAAACGCCGGGCCCAACCCTGACCCCTGAGGAACGGCGCTCGTCACTTGGACAGCAAGCCAATACTGTTCAACAAAGGAAGCCCCTGGGTGTACCTACAGACATAATAAGCTATTTAGTTCTCCTGATGTTGGTTTTTATGGCCATTCCACTAAAAATATACCTAGTCACGTAAAATCATTTCTTTGACATAGTCTCATATTCCTAAATGCTGCAGCAAGGGTCACATTGTGTAACCTAACCCAGCCAATACTAGGTTATTAGTGCCCATCCAGCTAGTCAAAGACACTAGAAAACTTGGGTGTTAAAAAAGAAACTGCAATTTTAAGTAACTCCTTAGTAAGAACTCCTGTTTCACTGAAAAGATAACTGCATCTCATCTACTTTTATAAAACATTTATAGAATAAAGTATCCATGTGGCCAAAAACATACAAGATGGAGGCGCAAAAAAGAACCTGATTTTTCAGAGACTGAAATTATATTTTAAGAAAAACTCCTAGACACCACATCTTGCTGAAAATCCACCCTAACACCCATACCACCACTGCCGTCTCCATTACCCCCCCATGCTCTTCAGTACAGCAGTTCATTTCTGCGAGCCAGACATTGTGCTATCCTTTCAGAAGGACAACCGGTGCCATGTCTTGGTGTATTTATGCCACAGAAGCAGTGACAGCCACCAGAGAGGTTGTACAGGGGTACGGTGAGATGGCAGGGACAGTCAGGATTAGGAGGATGCCAGGTGTGCAAAGCTGTCGCGGTGGTACCTGACTCCTTCGGGACCGGCTCTAGTTCTCTCATCATCACCATTTTTTCTTCCTTCTCCTCTTCAATAGGGCTTATCTCAACATTGCCAAGAGCACGTTTGGCTAAAAAAGTTATGAATGTGTTAAAATGCCACCTCAAAGATGAAGTAGCAAAGGCAATACTGCCATCAGTAAATCTGCACGGTCACCTCTCCTGCTTCTCTCACAGTGCTTCAGAGCATCAAGACATGCAGGAAAAGTAACAGATACCAAGCTTTTCCTTTGCCACTCAACGATGTTCTGTGCTGTCCAGAACTGTGTTATTTTAGTTACATTTTCTTGATTAACTACCTTTGACTATTTTGACACATAACAATTTAAACACAGTAAAAAGCACTGCTCCAAAATATAAGATATAAAATATCAAACATCATCGCCCTGGCCAAGAAAATGGTCCCTACTGGGAACAAAAGTGTCAAGAGGAGGAAAAAGTGCAGGAGGTCAATAAGAAGAGGCAGCTGCAGCAGGAGACCCCTGGATGTGCTCAGGTCTGACACTGGCTGCTGCCCATCCTATGGAATATCCTGAAGTCTAAGCGCAGGGGCTGGTTTAGTATTTTTCATAATATTCAAGAAAACAGGTGAAGTTCCGAGTTACCTCCCTCCATGGCTTCCATCTCTTCATCCTGCAATGACTAACTAACTCTGCCTTTAATTACTATTAGGGTGGAGCTGTCTGCTGCAGTGAAATTGCTCTGAAAAAATAAAACCCAACTAGGGAAGAAGCAGGCTTCCTAGCAAAGAAAAAATCCAGCAGAATGTAGGTGACCTCCAGCAGTCCCAGAGCACACAACCTGATTTTCAGGCACCGCACGTTCCTACAGCTCAGGGGAATGAACCTTAGGAGAAGGGACAGTAACAGAGGAGCGTTAAGAGGCCACTGCACACTCATTTCAACACACAGGCACACAGCCAAGCCACGGCACAGCACCTCCTCGTCTCGACCAGAGGCACACCCCGATAAAGCAGCATCCGTGTATTGCAGCGCACTTGCAAAGCTGAGTGTGATTTTAATGGCAAGGAACACCACCACAAACAGTGCAACCTCTGTCCTACAGCACTGCATCACTTCAACCCAGCAGGTCACAGCCCGGGCGGCCGGGGCAGCCACGCCGGTGGCAAACACTGCTGCGGCTGTACCTGACCGCGGCTGCAGCGGCTCCGGTAACTTTGGCTTGGCAATGGGAACCTTAACCACCTCTACCTTCTCCTCCTCCTCTTCCTCCTCTGCAATGGGTTTCATTTCAAAAGCTTCAAGAGCGTGTTTGGCTAGAAAAAGGTTTGCATGCATTAATAAAGTGGTTGGAGAGCCACATGGACACACAACGGTTGCCACAGCAGAGGAAAGAGCGAGAGGAGATCCCTCTCCATGGCAGCAGCTGAGAACAGCGAGGAGGTTTTTAAAAGAGGCAGCTTAACAGTAATTTTCCACCACACAATTGTGGATCAGTCTTTCTAGTGCTGCCAGGCCCAACAGTGTATTGGATGAGAAGGGTAAAAACACAAGCGAGCTCTGCAGGCTTCTTGCCCAGCAGGGATAGATGGGGACACTCAAACGGCTCTTGAGTTTGGTACTAGGACTGGCTTTGCCTGACAAAGTCAGGGGAGATGCAGGTGCTGGCTGGTAAAATCCAGGAAAAACATACCCAGGCACTTCTAGATAACAACCCGTATAAAAACTAGCAGCTTTAAAGAAACTGAGTACTTGAGTGATCAACTTCAAATCTAAAAATTAAGAACATACAGCCATTTACTCTGGTGTCTTAAATTCTCCACCTTCTGTTTTTACAGCATCAGGCTTTCACTGCCAGGCAATGCTGAGTAGCGAGAACTCGAGGCAAGACAGGGGTGGGGAGACAGTCTGTTGCACTACTTCACAAAAACTTGATCTAGATTTGATACTAGAAAAACAGTGATGTCAAAAGCATGCTGTAAAAAAATCAGGGTGGAAGAAGGGAAGTGGAGCAGTACACAATGCATTTGCATACAAATTATCTCCAGCTCTAATGCACCACAGGCATTCGCTATTTAAGTGATGAAGACTGCAAATATTTGACAACACTGCTGCTGTGATATGCTTAGCAGTATTCAAATATGCTGTTGTACCTATACACCTCTTAAAGGCATTAATATTTATTGACTTTACCTATCTTAAGAGAAATATAAGCTCCATGTGGCAAAATAAGTGGCATTTCTCAAGCCCCCCAAAAAACGCAGAGTAGGCTTTAAAAATGGCAAGCAGGTCCCAGGATGAAGAATTTCAGAAACTTTACAAGAAGTTTCAAGATCGAACTTTAAAATTTTCTAATCCACATTTACAAAACCACTCAAATTTAGTGAGGAGACAGTTCTCAAGTGCCAGCACATCCTAAACTTTTCCCCACCTCCCAACAAGAATTACAGTCTAACGAGGTGCAAGGCGGAAATTTAACCAGTCTCCCAGAGCCAGGGCTCTGCTGGGCTGTCTCTCCTCTGACTGCAAAACTCTTCTTGCAAAGAAACGAAAAAAGAAAGCTGCCAGATTTGGTGAAACTTTGAGTTGCCAGGAACAAGCATGTAAAGGATAGGAAAGGCGCTGCAGAAGAGTTGTAGCCACCACCACAGCTATACCTGGCTTCTCTCGGATCTGATCCATGGGTTTTGGTTCGGGAACCTCAACCACCACCACCTCCTCCTGCTTCTCTTCCTCTACGGCTCTGAACTCAACTTTTTGAGTCGCACGTTTCGCTGAAGAAATGGGGCACATGTTAACAACTGCCCACACGGCAGATGGGAAAGGCTGCGGACTTCAACGGGCACAGAAGCATTACATTCACAGGCTGCTCTTTTCCAAGCTCTGACATTCATGTGAGGGATTGCAGCGGGGATTTCGCTACTCATACAGGGTCTTAACAGTCTACAGGGCATGGCCAAGGAGCAACCAACAGCACAGGTCCCCTTGTCTCCATGCAGCGTGCCTGGGTAACCTTGCATGCCCAGACTGCAGGCAAGCAGGCATTTTGCTTTGCTGTGGTACGGAGCTCAAACCAAGCAGCGCTTCCCTCCTGGCTCTGAGGCATGAAGCCCAGGCTTGGGGTGTTGCTGAGCCCTGTAAAGCCACGCCAGGAGCAGGGGCAGCCTGGCTGCTGCTGGCCACAGGGCACTGGGGCAGACCTGCTCCCTCCCAGCTCGCAGCACAACCTCGGGGCTCACAGCAACGTTGTTCCCGCTCCATCAGGTGTCCTTGGTGCAAAGCAATTCTCCCCTTTTCCTGGATCCTGATTTTATAAGCATCCCATGATCCACATCAAGGGGAATAAACTTAGGCACTCCCCCTTCCATGCCTCACCTACTCTAGCCTGCTGCTATCTGGCTCTTAAAAACGTCAGGGATGAGCCCACCTGATCAATATGCCACAAACCAACATTAGCACTGCTTTAACAGGCACCGAAAAAGTTTCAAACAGTTGTGACAAAGAATCTCCCCCTCAAGGAAAACTATGTAATTTAAGAAAGTACGTTAAACAAAACAAATACTAGAATAGCTTAATTCCTGATTCGCTAGAAGGAAAATGTGTTGAGATTGAATGAGGAAGTATCTTTACAACCAGAACTTTGCCATAAGCCTTCAGCACCCACCTACATCCTTTTCATGTCAGTCAGTTCTTGCTAGTACTACTATCAGTTTGCATTTTATATCCAGGTCTCTGTATTAAAGTGAGATGTTCTTTTTTTTTTTTTTTTTTTTTTTTTTTTTAAGCAGAGAATTTAGGTGGTATTTAAGGAGTATTCCAGCATTCTGCTGAATCCAGCCACGGAGAGGGAGGAGGCACCAGACACTCACCTCCATCGAGGCTCCTGGAGGCTCGCTTACTTGCCGTCCGCTCGAACTGGGGAGCGGGTCGGTCGATCAAGGCACTCGCCTGCCTTGTCTGCGCCTGCGTCCGGCCGCTGTAGCGGAACTTGGAGCCCAGCGCTAGGAACCTGCTCTTCGGGATGGCCTCGGTGGAAGTCAGCCTGAAAACCACACGCACAATTTAAAAACCATACCTCCAGTTATAGGAAGCAGCAGGTAAAGAGAAATTAAAATACAAATTAAAGAAGTCTCTTGCATACATCTGATTAACAAAACAACATGCACTAACAATAAGCCCCACATCTACGTAAGCTGCAAGACCTCTGTCTTATGTACCTTAGGAAGCAAAAGCTGCCTAGATATTTATTGCAATTTAAACAACTTAATGTCTCTGCAAGCATTTGACTCGATTTTTTTGTGAAACCTTAAGGAACACTGAAGGAGGGCTCATTTTCAGCAGCTAACCTAAACCATTAGCTATTCAAGGTGAACCTACCGTCTAGCAAACCCACCTGAAAAATGTGTGATGTTCAACACATACTTTCCACAGCTTCTTTGCTGCCCGGTAACTTGGCAGCTTGAACCCAATTGTACTTTCATACTGTTCTTGCTGTGGAAAATAGAAGTTATTTAGGTATAGCAAGAAATAAATGCAGCAGGAGTCCAGTCCCCAGCCCATCGACCTGTTCTGCTGTGGCACAAACTGCTGGTGTAGCCCAAGAGCAGCTGAACTCACTTCACAATGTGCAGAACGAGCTCAGATCTGAGAAAAGACAGGGCTTGGCCACAAGCCTGGGCATCTCTCAGGATGCACCAGGATTTGCAGAGGAGCATGCCATGGATTTTGCAGCTATTCAGACTCATTTACACCCCTGTCATACACCCAGCTGGAGCGGGGGGCTGAAAATTGACCTCCCTGCAAAGCTGCATCATGGCAGATCAAAACAGGAGGAGGAAGAAGAGGAGGAATGAGGCAGACCCCCACTGTAGCCTCTCTCCCCACTGTTTCCAGCAACCAGGCTGCTCCAGGGATATCCCTGTTCACAGGAGGCAGCATCAGGGCAGCCACTCCCTGCCTGCTGCAGTCTAAGTGAAAAGGTATGTGTCTGTACTTTCTTTTTTTTTTTTTTTTCCTAATGAAAGTGAGACAAAGAGCCTTTGTCTTTCCCCATTTCCAAAAAAGGAGTTAGTCCTCTCCCAGTTTCAACTGTGAACTTCCCACCAGTTTCCTCTGGATGCTGGGAATACCGTATGGTGCCAGGAGGTGGTGCTGGATGACACGTTTAAACTGTCATCTGCTGGTTTATAGCTTCAGCAAGGTCAGCAGGGCTCTACCTGAACTTAATACCAAGCCAAGACCAGAAACCCTCTGATGCTCATTCAGAGAAAAGCTTGCTCCCTTCCCCAACTTTGTTTTAGTGAAGTATACACGTTGGTGATAACTAAAAGGCAATTAAAGATGACATGAGCACAAAGAAGTCTGAACATACTTCCCCTGGCCGAATCTTTATAAAGAAGCTGCTGCGTTTGTAGGAAATCTTCAGGACTTTGGGCCAAGGGAAGCGGTTGATTCTCAGTTTATCTTTGTAAACAAGAAGGCCACTGGAACAGACTCCCAGAGTGATATCCACTCCTTCCAAGTCCTGGGAAAGCAGATGAGGATTTAAGCAGTGTCAGAGTTACAAGTTTCAGGTCAATATCTGCCTTCCAAGTTACCCCTTTGGTCTTCCCCCAAATTCATCTCCCCACCACTCAGACTTCAGACTCCAGCTCCCTATGCAGCCAGGGCCAGGCTAGCTTTTCCTTCATGTTTCTCCTTACAAGCTCCTCCCTTCTGCTCATCTCTCCTGTGATGGTGTTTGCTCAAAGGGCAGGTCTAGAGTCTATCCTGCATTTCCCTGAGCGGTCTGGCTCACCTTGCAGGATCAGAGACTTATTCCAAGTTCCTCAGATCAAGGGCTTGTCTGTATCAGTAGTTCTGCAAAGCTTCCTGTATTATATAAATAATAAGCAATTTGGAAGAAACACTTCTCTGACAACACTTGCAACAGCGCTGGAGGCATTTCTGTTGTGTGTCTATTTCTGTACCAGTAACCAGCTTACTTCCTATATCTTTCAAAAGGAGCTTCCTGAAATAGGTAAACATGCTCCCGCAAGTGAAGGATAATCAAATTGCAAAATCTACAGGCAGGTGCATAACACGTGCTGATTCTCACCTTGGCTTGGTGAAGGTCAACTCCATACATAGACAGCTTTTTTGCATTCTCAAGAAACTCCAGGTCTGCTTGGGCTGGAGTCATGGATCTGGGGAAAGAGAGAAAGGGCCTGGTACTCCCCTAACTGTTGCTTTTAGCATGGGACAGATCAGACTTCACAAACCATTTACCCATTAGATTTTCTTTTGCTTTCAATACAAACAAATCTGTACCTAGGTGATGAATTATTAAATTACTCTGAATACACGAATTTGTGCTTTGAGACATCCTCATAAAACGGATGCACCTTATGTTTGTGGAGTTGTACAGACACTGGAGAAGAAAGCAAGGAAGTACAGTGAGGGGTACAAAACTTGATTCAGTAGAAGAAACACCAATTCAGCCGAAGGCAGAGGGTGACAGATCCTCCCAGACCTCCTGCCTCCAGACCTCCCCAAACCCAGCTATTGTTCTCCAAACCAAACACAAGGACAACAGCTGAGACCTGTCGGCAGCGAATCCTGCTGGGGCAGACCAGATGAATGAGACGTTTTCTGGGAACAGATGGTACCCTGTCTGCAGGAGGGGCAACACAACACAACTTTGCTTTACAGAAACACCCTGATAATGGAGGCTATTATCAACATTATTGAAGTGCCCATGTTAATAAGTTTCTGGTGTACAAGGTACATCTAACAGCTCTGTTGGGAGAGTATTCAGCTGTATACATTTCATTTTGTTCCCTGCTTTGATGTCTTCCTTACTGAGCGCTTGCATACATCTTGTGTGCGGTGAAAATAAAGGTTTTAGTGGTGGGAGACAGAGCAGGCAAAGGCAACTGTAAGGATAATCCTCTAGGAAAGACCCAGGAGCAGTCATCATCTCCAACACGTGCCTTGTGCTTTGCAAATAAAGAGGTGGAGCATGGTTTAGAGAATTTTCCCACTGCAAACCCTCTGACAGTTTAATGTTCACAGAATACAGATCAGAAATTAAATGGGTACACGTTGCTCCCTCGTGCACGCACGAGCAGGTTAAATATAACTACATCCTATATTTTGAAGTATCCTTCTAATGAAGCCATGAATAATTCAGCAAGGTGATCTGCCACTTCTAGCACAGCTAACGGCCTTTGACTTCAAGTCACAAAGCTTGTCAGCGGCCTAATACTTACTTTCCCTCATTTCCTCTCCTCTCAGTGCAAATGGAGGAGAATCAATTTAGAGTATTGATTTGCAGGGTTGAGCGAGGTGTTAATTGTAGCGTTGGTCACAGCTGGGGGCACACGTCCACCCTTCCCTACTGCACTTGGGTTATTAGTTCCCATCTGCCTGCAAGAAGATCTTGTCTTTGCCCTGTTCTGGTTATTAGTGCATCAGCCAACAGCCTTTCACAGGTCAAGGGTCTGCTGGTTGAAGGCCTCAGTATCACCAAGTGGTTTTATGGGCTTTCCCCCCCCACCCCCTCCAAAGTCCAAAGGTGACTCTGGGAGGGTGCAGAAGCTGCCAGCTGGCTGCTCTCCACACTGGCCCTTTGCACTGCCGAGCACACAGCTCCACACAGCTTCTGCAAGCCAAGCACTCAAAAGCATCTATGAAAATAAACTCAAAATAAGATGAGGATTACTGTCACCCTTGAATCTGGTACCAGGGGGACTCCCAAGTGTCCTTCCAAGTGTTGTGGCTGCGCTGGGAAACACAAGGAAGAGAGCCTAACTGCAGCATCATCCGGAATACTTCCACATAAGAAAGTGCTACTCATTAAATGTGACAACAGAAAACCTCAAACAGGCTGCAGGCTACAGTACATACACAAAGAGACAAGATCTGGTCCAACCAGACTGCAATCCAAAAACTACATAAATTCCAAAGCAAGTATTTAAAAAAAAAAAAAAAAAAAAAAAAAAAAGAGAAAGGGCAAGGTTAAAAAAAGCAAGCTTTGTATTTTCACATGAAATAAACCCCACTTTGACAACTATCCTATTGAAAAAGAGCTTATGTTAATAAACAATTGCAAGACTTTGCACCTGCTTTCTGAAAACACAGTTTCTTCTTCACACAGGAAAAAAGAATTGCAGCTTCTAGGAATGTTTTGTTATAAAGTATTAGATCTTTTTTAAAAAGCTGATGTTCTCAGTAGCTGAAAATTCACACCTTACTGCTAAATCTTCTGCTGCAAACATCAAAAAATTGGTGCAGCAGGAAACCAAAAGCATACAACAGAAGTTGGGAAAATATCAGAAAGCCCCATTATTTCAGGCTGCTGTGCACAAATAAGCCCTCCAGCTACCACATCTTACCTGTATGTTTTATGAAGCTCCACAACCTTCTCTTCAAGCTCTTTTGTCTGGTTTGGGGCCAATTTAAATTCATTGATGTAATCCGGGCTGTGTAGATCAGGATCATAGTCTCCCAACTCAGACTGGACTGTGTATGAACCCAGCAGAGCCAAAGTTGCAAAGGAACAGGGCAGCCGCCCTGTAATGATGTCTTGTCTAAGCTGAAGACACAAGTAATACCTGGGGGGTTGGGGGGGAGAAAATACTATTTACAGAGAGCATAGAGAAACTTAAGAAACTCAAGGATTAAACAGAATCTCATTTTTTATGCCACTGATGAATGCAACATGATGTTTGTTTCTAATGTCTACCTGTATTTTTACTTATGGGTTAATATTCCCATGGTAAACAGAGTGGAGGACAGGAGGACTTAAGGTTACCTCCACTCTGCAAAGCGAGTACAGGACACTTATGATCAGAAAAATATTTCTTTTAAACAAAAAATTACTTTCCTATACTCATGTCAGGATTATAAATGACACTGCTTTACACAGTGGAGAGCAGAAGCATCCCACACATCCACTAAAAACAAACAAAAAAATCCCCTCCAAACCGTTAAGACATCTGATCTCCTTGCTGAAGGACGGAAAAATACCCAAATATTTAAAATTTCTATTCAATATTCACTGCTTTGCTGAGAGAGCTCCCTGGCTGGCAGCAAGATTCCCAGGTAATTCACCTGGTTATGTCCTCTGTCAGCTGCGCAGGATCCGGTGGATAAAACTTGACATTGAAGGTAAAATCCCAGGGGCCTCCTGCAGTTACAAAGGAGAGGTTGAGAAAAATAAACACACCAGAACATCTTTGTGATAGTCATTCGTTACAAAAAAAGCTGAGAATATCCACTCTGATCTTCAAAATGCAGCCAGCAGATCATAATACTGATTTTAATACTGCCCGCTCGCACAGCTAGCTGCTGCTTAGCAGACAGTATGATATGATTTCATTTACAGGAGCTAAGATACAAGCAGGGCAGGCAAATACACACGAATAATCCACATCTTGTGGACAAAATACAATTCATTGGTAAGAGCCTAAATTACGTATTTTCTTCATTGATTGGAAAGAAGGATTCATGAAGAGAGGTCAGACGTGTGCTATAAGTTAATGAATTAGTATTGTTTTATCACTCAACCCCATTTTCAAATTTCTCTTCAAGAGCAGATGTGCTAATTCACTCAGCAGCCTAATGCACTGTGGTCGGGTGGTCAGACCACAGGTTAAACTCAGCACAAGCATCAATCTCTGGATGAACCCAGCAAGCAGAGACAGAAGGAGCTTTACAAGTCCAGGCCTAAATGCTTTAAATACAGGTTGCTGCAAATCTTGTACAGCACCATTACAGGCATTAAGTGGGGCAAGAATCCACATAATCACACGTAGAACTGGTAGTATTTGTGGTATGAACAGTCTAGATGACACAGTTGAAGGGGTTACTCTCTCTTTCTTGAAAATAATCACATTTATGCACAGAAAATAGTCCTGAGTGACCCATTAAGCACTCAAAGTAATTTTCATAGTTACATCTGCCCCCTGCTGTGCCCTTTCACACTAGTTCAAAATAATATTTATTTCAGAAAGAGAAGATACCCCTGCGCTTAATTTCCTCAGAGATTTATCTCAAACAGGAAAGAGGGGGGGGGCTAGCTAGCATTCATGGATTTATTTCTTATGCAACACCATAACTGGGATTAAACACAAGGCATGTTGTTTTCATTATACACAGTTCAAAACAAGCTATTCCAAAAAGACATTTTAGGTAGCAGAGGTTAGCTAAACCAACCCACACTGGTGTACACATACTCATATAAACATTCAACGTATATTCAAGAAAAATCTAATAATTTGCCATTTAACTCATCTCGAGGGATCAGATTCTCTCGCAGGTTGCTCATTACACTTGTGAGCTGAATTTCACCTGCGCAGCACAGCCAGAGCAGCTCATGCCCTTTACACACAACCTGCTATCGATTCAAAGAGAAGTTGGTAACAGCAGGATCTTTGCGTGCTCCGCAGCCCTGCGGCATTTCCACCCTAATCTGTACTTAATGACATGCTTTGTTCTGCGTCCCCCACCAAAAGCATATGTAAAACAGTATTTTACTTTCATAAAACAGTATTTTACTTTTGAAGCAGACTTGCTCCTGAGAGAAAACAAAAGCCTCTAAAATATATTTAACTTTGACACTGCCCTCATCTTGAACTAATTTAGTGCTAGCAGACCTTAAAATACAACTCCGGATAGCATCTGGTATTTGCCCTGATACTACTCGAGCCATTTATCATTCCAGTACCCTTATTTGGATACCAAAACAGCCTCAGAGTCCGTAACACTTTGCCACAGCATAAAATTTTGCTCAGGCTCTCCCAGCCTCCTTTGAGATTTAAACAGTTCCCACCAACACCTATTTTCCCGTTCCCCAACAGGGAGCAGATCTCCCATTTCAGCATCACACAGTAGCAAGGACAGCCTGGGTTTGCATGGGGCAAACACAACCCAAACTATGTTTTCCCAAGGAAATCACATTTTCTCCTAAATCTAGAACCTCACTAAGTACTTAAGAAGAGGAGAAATGATGCACAGACTGCTCAAGCTTGTGCTGATCCCTGCCAGACACCCTCACTTGAACTCTCACCCATCATTGGGCCCCCCGGATCATCCGCCAGAGTCATGCTTATTTAGGGAAGGGGGGAGAAACCACACACACCCACATGATAAATTCGATCTACTTACCATGAACCTGTTTTTTTATTTCTTTGGCGGGATCCAGCCATGTCTGTAAGAGGATAAAAACATTCAGTTTAACAGATGTTCCAGGAACACCACAGAAAACTGCAAATTGCTAAAAATACAGCAAAAAGACAACATTTGACATGAACACAGCCGTGGAAACTGGAGACAGTGCATTTTTCACAACTTTTACTCCAGTGCATGGTGCTGGTGGGCGCAATTCCAACCCTTCACCTACCAGGTACTCACAGGGGAGGCACAAGGAGCAGGAATAAAAAATAAAATCAGTATATTAGGGCTGCAAGCATGTAGCAGTAGGTAACACTGCAGCTACATCCAGCTACAAGGAGCACTTCTGCAACACTTTTTTTTTTCCTCTAGAACCTTTAATAATAGACAAATAGGATGTCTTCATTCATTTTAGGCACCCTATCTCCAATATCTACCCTACTCAGAACAAAGATCATCAAGACTTTCTATTATTAACTATAGTTTTTATCAGCCTAATCACCGAAATACAAGTGAAAACCTCCAATTGCTGGGGAAGGCTGGAATCTTTTACAGAAGCGTGACAAACTTATGTCTTTTAAGTATGACTCAAGTTTCTAGTAATTATCTCAGCTACAAATTTAGAAATATATCCTTCCCCCCCCACACTCTGTAATTTGGGGTTTTGTGGGATGGTGGTGCAACATAAGCCTCAAAAAAGAACTCCTGCTTTTGCCAGTTTGGTGTGAGCAACAACTGGCACGTCAAGTCTGAGCCTTTCCCTTTGCAGAGGTCAGGGTCTGCCCCGCTGAAGGGGACGGCGCGGTGCTAGCAGCCTTCCTGGAGAGGCTACATTAAACCACCTTCTTCATTTTCTCATGTCCTGAGCAGGATTTGGACATCCAGGTCTCCCAAGGTGAAGGAATTAACTCATTGAATCCCCCAAGCTAATCTGTCTTGGCCAGAAGGACACGTAACTTCATGGCAGGGAGACAGCGATACTTACATTTAATCTGATCTTTTTATATGCTTGCCCCTCTAACCTATAAAACTAGGGGTACAAAGTCCATTTGAAAGGTAGACATGCCCCTTGTTGTCATTTTAGAGCCACCGTTTTAAGCAGAACATCTCTACATCTACGCTGGTGCCACTGCAGTGATAACAGCTGGGTTTTGAGCAGCCAAGCCTGGGGTGCAGTCACACATCCTCGGCACTGGCCCTGCCTGATCCAGCAGACAATGACAGGTACAGCAATTAACGGCACTTCTATCCACACTGCCATGAATCAGTGGGAAACAATCCTCCCTTTCAGAGCAGCATGAGCATCAAGCTCCTTCTGTGCTTACCAGCTGCTCAACCCACTGTCGCAATCTCCTATTCCCACTGTCACCCTCTGCTATTCCCATGTGGGAAAACGCCCATCCCCAAGAAGGTTTATTTCCTAAATATCAAGGTGGAAAATGCCACATACAACCCTTCCCTGTCCAGGAATACACACGTGCACCTCCACCTGCTCCACACTGCTGCGGGTAAGGTGCAGAACTCATCCATTGGTTTCCCATTAACATCATTTCTACCTGTGAACCAGCAACATGGTGTCAGGTCTTGTTTGAAGTTACAGCAGGAGAGAGATGGAGCTTCAGATTTCAAAGTTCAATGAAACATAACCAGAAAGATTAAAAAAAAAAACCAACAAACAAACCAACTTAAAAATGGTGTTTTCCCCCATCAGAGCAAACCAGACTTTCACCAAGCAGCTTACTCTGCACTGGAGTTAAACCCATGAAAAGTGGCTTTACTCTTCTCAGCTCCCAGCTCTGGGACACAAATCTGACAAAACTATCTGTTTTCAGTCCCTACGGTTAAAAAGCTGCACAACCTCTTAGCCCTTGTCAGCTGAGGGGGAAGGAGGTACATGCTTTTGCATTCGGAAGAATTGATGCCAGCACGCTTGGACATGAGAAGAGTCCTGGGGGTCTGGGAAATGCAACAGTGAGCACAAGTGTGAGAGGCTGAGCTGCAAACTCTTTTTGCTCTTAACTGGATCTAAAAGCACACCTATCCCTCCCTCTGCAAGCACAAAAAACTCCTAGAGTAAAAAAATCCGGGCTATATACATGGAAACAAATTTCACATACAAGAAAATAACAAGACACCAGAGACAGCAAAACAAACCGAAGACAGAGCTCTGTCTGCTTCAGATAGTGATGGGATGTTATTTTGCCTGTGTATTAAAAATTCACACTTGCAATTATTAAGTATAATGACAAATGTCTGTCAGCCATAGTAACCTGCCCATAAGCGACTGCTGTAGGTGAAGCACAGAACAGTCAGAATGTGGACCACTGTAACTGGTCTAAGGGATGTAAAAGTGGGCCCTTGATTTCAATTTAGCACACTTGCCTACTTTCATGAAACAGAGCTTGAGTAGTTGCATGAGTTAAAGCATAACCAAGGGTTTAAGAGGTAAGACACTGCTTGAGTCTAAACAAACAAAGACCTTCAACTGAAACCATGACTAGGAGTTTTGGTATGAAGAGTCACGTGTGTCCTTTCACAGGGTAAAGCCTCAATTCAAAACTGCTCTGCACGGCTCCAACCAAACCTTACAGAAAATGACACCAGTGCCAGGGCAGCCAGCTTTTAGTCCTGCTCACTTTGGGGAACACAGGCTCCAGGACTCTCAAGTCCACCTGCAGTGTGTCAACATTCAGGCTCATCTTCTACAGCCTAACCTAGCAGTAAACCTCTTCTTATAATCACAATAAAAAAAAACCTGCTGCTTTTCTAGATTGAAAAAAAAAAACCTTATCTTCCCCTAACTTCCTCAGCTATAGCTTTACAAATTAACAGCATCATTTTGCAGTAAACTAATATAATGAATTTTCTTCAGGTGAAGATACAAGTTCACATAGCTTTTTTACTAAAACCCAGACTCTTGTAGTCATTTATTCACAACTTCTGCCTCTGTGATGACCCTCTTAGTCCTTTTATAGGGAGAACACCAAAAGCAGTTTTAAGAAGAATTTATGTACCATCTCCTCCCTGGGGGAGATGGTCCTTCAAAAGAGCTGCACCCACCTGGGTGCAGAACAGCACACAACGGCAGCTGCTTACCCTGGAGGTTGGCGTGTCCCATATGGCCAAACCAAAGTAGTCTTCTTCCAGGAGATTGAGGTGGTCGCAGACTTTTTTAAGTAGATCCTGCCCCTTGGCGTGTTTCTGCAAATAGACAAAAGCAATTCCGTAAGAAGGACTGGGTTTTGCCTGCCCTTGTTCACAGGAGAGGCGAGAAAGGGAACATAATCAAACCACACTGTACACTGCCAAGAAGTCCTGAGTAGCTCAAAATCAGACCTCCTGCCTGTTTCTGAGCAAGTACCCCTTATAGGAAAGGCCATGAGGCATAAAATTTCAAACCAGAGAGGCAATGGGAACTGCAGCAAGTCTCTCAGCTACCACCAGCTCCGTGTCTGAAGCCCCCCCCGAGCTGAGCTTCTCAACACAATTCAATAAACACCGAAGATCTGTATGGATGTTCCCTCCCAAAGTACATCTTACTGGACTGGTATATCCCAGCTCCAGGCTGCCAGACAATCAGGCACTGATCAAAAGATGATCAATGCAGGGTATGAAACTGCTTCTACAACCCACTGCTACAGTGTCTCATTTTGGGGGCAACCTGACTTAGCAGGGTCACAAAAGAAACAGCAGCTCAGAACCAAAGACCATCATTTCCATGGCCTTTTCATCTACCCCATCTGCTGATGAAACCCAGCCTCTCCTGTTTTGCCTTATGCACCGAAAGCTGCTTAGCACACAACTTCCTGCCTCAAGAAATACACTGTGAATACACTTTGAGCATTTCTATTTCCTCTTTTTTTTTTATTTTTCAACCCCCTCAAATCCTGCAGAAGTGAACTGGCCCTAGGCACAGATAGCCTTTTAGTCCAAAAGCATGAAGGAAAACATCTCTGAGGCATACAACTATGGTAACCAGATGCAGCTCATTCTATTGGAGGCTCTACTAAAAAGAAATTGCAATTCCAGTGACGCAAAATCAGCTTTACTAATGCACTGCTTGTGCCTGCATCTCTCCTTTTAGTCGTATTTGCATGGCAATTGATCCAAGATCACAGCCTTGTTTTATTCCAGTCCTCCAGCTGTAAGGTCTTTAGTGCATACATTGTGACTCTGTAATATAGTGCATGTGTTAGCCTGGATATTTCTTAAGGAATCGGCACTTAAAGACATACAGGAATTAAAAACCTTCCATGGCCATCAATTGAAAAGGATGTCTGAAAGCACTTCTTGGATAAAGGCATTTGTGCTGGTCTTTGCCTACACCTGTGCAATTCCTTCCCAATTAAATGCTGGTCTTTGCCTACACTTTTGCAATTCCTTCCCGATTAAGTCTCAATAAATTCTCAAAATGATACAGTAGGATTATATCAGCGTTAAACTAAGGTTACTTGTCAAGTCAAGAGGGTCTCACCAACACAGCAGCCCCTCCTAATCCTCTCTGCAGTGCCCACCGCGACCCTCGGGACCTACAGAAAGAGACTTCTAACATCCTGCTCAAGTCAGGACCAACCACACCGCCAGCAGCTCTCCTGCCAACACTGTCCGCACAGCCTGCCAGTATTTGAAGGCACAGCTGCAGCAAACTCACGCACGGAGCCACTGCAGGCTGTCACCAGCATTTTGGGGAACAGCTTCTTTTTGGGGGCTGTGTACAAAATCCCCAGCAAAGGGGCAGGCGATCGGGGCAGTGACGCTCCGAGCTGATCCCAGGCAGTAACAGCAGCAACGCCGTCACACAAACAGCCAGCGCTGACCTACTTGCCCAGGATCACCCAAGGTAACTGCTTTCACAAGGAGCCCTGTGCCCAGATACCCTCTCCTGGCCCATTTAGCCAGAGGGACTGGGGAAAAACAACCTGAGGGGAATATGTTCTAATGGCGAGTACCAGATTATTAATATTCCGGACAAGCACTTCAATACTGAAATGGGCATTTTTGCTAGCTTTTTATTGCCCTGACAGCAAGGCAGCCCTGTGAGAGAATGCACAAAATAAAGCAGAAGAAAAGCTCTCAGATTAAGGGTTTTGCATGGCTGTAAATCAACATAATAATTTTAAATTGTTTACTGCAAATATATTTAACTGTAGGCAAAACACAGCATGTTTTTCTTTATATCCAAGCTCCAGGAGTTATGTTAGCCAGCAGCCAGATAGGTGAAGGAACCTTGGGTGAGCAGAAAAATCACAAATCAACCTGACAATTCGTTTTATTCAAAGGAAAGGAGCAGAAGATATTTACACAATCCCAGCCTAACACAAAAACCTTAATTCTAGTCTGGGATACAAAACGAGAGAGAAGATGAACAGCAAGTAAGATTTTTTTTTTTTTTAAACTGCCCTCCACCCTTACACAGCAAGGTACCCTGAAAATTGTAGAACAAATAAAAAAAAATTCCTAAGTACCCAGAGATTTTTACAACGCACAAAGTTGTTATAGCTTAGAGCAATACTGTTCTGCAGTAAAGCCTGTCATGTAATTCACTGGCAGCAAATTAGGCCGCTATTAAATTGTGTTTGTGGCGATTTTTTAAGGGGGAGGAAAAGGGAGAGGTAAAAAAGGCACAGCAGAAACAAACCCCAAGACTACTTACATCCACGGCGCACTCAAAAATGGTGTCATCCAGCAAGACGACTTTGCAGTACATGTTTCTGTGTCTTTTTACTGCTTTCTGGGCAGCTTTCAAATCCTTCTCTGCTTTGGTCTCCGGAGTCTCTTGTTTTGGCTCTGGCTTGGCACACTCTTCCTTCGCTTCCCCTCCTTCCTTGTCCCCGAGGTCTTTGCTCGCCGGCTCCTGGTCGTCCCTCCTCTCCTCCTGCGCAGGCTGAAACCCCCAAATCACCCAAGGTGCAATTTAGATGTGTCAAGCAAAAAAAACCTGACATGAAACAAGCACTGCATAGGTAGGGCTGGGATCTCACCCCAGAATTAGTATATCCGAGTTAAATGTGTAACCCAGGACCTGAAGCAGCAGCTTGGGTGAGAACTGTAATGATATTAATTTTTAAAGCCCTTCAAGTCATTCTCAAGTCTTCATTTAATAAAGGATGTAATAAAAAATAAAAAAGGGTTGATTAAAGAAATCAGGGCAGATTTCATCATGCAAATCTTCATGGTCTTAACAAAAATCACCTTCTGGACTAGTAAGTTTTTCCCCTCCTGGGCCAGACACCCAACACACCCACTGCACGGGCCTCCGCGCTCCCACTGCCACCCTGGGCGACGGGTTTTGCTCCAGTGCCACCAGCCCTCAGTATGGCAGCAGTGGCATTAAAAGGGGGGGGTCAGTGCTGAGATTTCATGGCCATCTGAGTTGATCAAGCAGCTCTCTGCCTCCAAAAAGGGAAGGCAGGCTTCACATCACTCTCCCTTTGCCTACTGAAGCACTTTGTAAGCCAGTTTAATTCACTAAAATAGGAGAAAGAGATGCAGTTTGCGGGCAGGAGGAGGAAGGAAGCTGTGTTTTTTTTCCCACTGCCATTTCAGCAAGTTAAAGGAGTTCACAGCAGGCTCTGACAAGTGCTGGAAGTGGCTTGATGCAGCAGGAGCACGCAGCCGTGGCAGAGGAAGAGCAAAACCCTGTCTTTTCAGCCCATCGCATCTCATGAAATCACACCCAGGCACAACTGCACGGAGGTATTTAAAAACTAAATAATGTCCGCAAGCTGCTGACTTCTGTTCCAGCAGGGCCGGGACAATTAGGAGCAGGGAATCAGTCAAAGCTCGTAATGCCCATCGGTCAGCATTTATCAAACAGGCAGCACCTCGCAAATGCTTTCACAGCAAAAATATCTGCCGAGTGTCACAGTTCAAAAAGCCACTGACATTGATCTAAAATAAGAACTAAAAAAAAAAGGCACAAATGCTTCATTTGAAATGAACAGTCCATGGTGAAGGAAGGCTGTGGGTGCACACTCACATGCACTCAGAAGCAGCAAATCACAGTTAAGCATGCATTTCCTCTTGAAGATGTGATTTCAGGGTTGAAATTGCATGAAAATTTCCAGCTCCTCCCCATTCTGCTAATTCCAACTTTTAGAGGTACAAAACACAATCAGAGATCATCACATGACTTTCACAGGCTCAGAAATTTGGGTAAAGAAAGAAAAAAGTGTTACCTACTACCTTTTCTACAACTTCGTAATTTTAAGGAGGTGGATTTACAATTACTGCCTACAGTTAGCAATGCTCTAACTTGTAAAGTATTGCTCCAAAAGTCAGAGTTTGCAGATATGTAATACCTCGCTGGGGTCCGTTAAAAACTTAAGGCGGCGGGGTAATTCATTCAGATTTTCACACAAATGTGCTATGATTATAGCTATAGACACAGATTGGCTGGGTGGTAAGAAATCCCCATCTCAGGAGAAAGCGCACCCCGCCTTCCTCTAACTCCAGACAGCCGCACACGTAACAGCAGAGCTGCAATTACCCAAGTAGTAAGAGCGGTCATCCAATACCCCCCAAATCAATAAGTAGCTGCAGCCTTGTGAATGTCTCCCGGGGGGGAGAGTCTGCCTCAGTTTCTACCACGCTTTAAAAACTTTAAATTTTGCATGAAAAATGACCCTGGCTGTAAAGAGTAGACCCCAGATGGCTACTAGGAGCTGGGCTCAGCCCACGTGCTGTGCAGAAATCCCTGTCTACACGATGCATAAGCAGAAAATATTTGTATTTGGCAGGCTCAGCACCAGCCCAGGCTGAACAGATGACCATGTCCTGAAATGCCAACGCTTGTGATCCCTGAAGTTGAAGAAACCCTTTCCCAAATCCATGTCCTCTTGCAATCTCCACCTCACACCACTGACCTGCCTTTATTCTACACACACCAAGGACATCCTGACAAGCAACCGTGAATTATGTTATGAATTATGAGTCTGAACCCTAGTTCTGATATGACTTCCCATGCCTCAGCTGAGTAAAGAGTCAGAACGGGGCATTTTGAGTTATGCTGTGAAGCGTGAGCACAATTTCAGCAGCAGGTACTGTGCAAGACAGTCTGCTAATGGAATGAAAGAGTGAGAAGCACACAGTGCCACACAGGGAGCTGACAGCCTTTTTAGCATCTCATGAGTTTTTCTGATCAAGCTTACCAGCCTAGGATATGAAGTTTTTATAGTTTTGGCTAAAAGACACATTTTCAAGAGCAGAAGGGAATTTGCCACATGGAACAAAGTGTTTTACCTGTGTTTCTGCACTGCTTAAGGAATGGAGATCTAGTGATGGATCAGTTTTGAGCTCAGGCTCAGGAGCTGCAATTGGGGCTTTCACCAAGATGTCTTCATCAGGGCTGGCTCCTAATCCTGGGTCTTTCTGGTCACCTCCCGCCTCTCTAGGAGCATCAGTGTCTTTGTCCTCTTCTGACACCTGAGACTTGGGCCTCCTGAGAAAGGATGAGAACAGGCGGGAGAGACCCCGGCCCTCGGAGGTGCGGCGCTCCTTCTTGCTCTGCTCCTCGTGCGTGGGTGTATCACCGTTGGAGGCCGCCTGCTTCTGCCCCACTGCAGCCTGTCCCTCCGACGTCTGCTGAGCCCCTTCCTCTAGGGAAGCCTCTTGCTTTTGTGTTTCAGAAGCTCCTTCCTCCTCCTTGGTTTGCTGCTGATCCGAATTGTCGGCGTCTGCCGCTGGACTCTTCTCTGTTGTCATGATGATGCTGTAAGAGAGGTTCAAAAGGTCTCAATGAAGAGTTTTTCAATATTCAAGTCTGCATTAAGCTATTCAAACCAAGCCACAAGCACAGACACACCATATTCTCCAGTCACACACCCCTGTCCTGCCAACTCCAGCCTACAAAATCATTAAGAGCAAAATCATTCATTTTGCTAAGGTTTGCTTTGATAGAAACATCTCTATCAACATTTGCCCATATGTCTTCCACCATTTGGACAACATTGATTCCAAACTGCTGAATGCCCTGGCACCAGGTCTGCAGCCTGGCAAGAGCAAACGATTAAAAAATGGAAACAAGATTAGGGAAAGCAGAGGAGGTGGCGGAGGGTCTTGTTCCACGGGGCTGTCCTGAGGTCCTCTCTTCCTCCAAGTCCCTGTTTCCCCCTGGCAGCACTGGCTGTGGGAGCGGAGCAGATGAGGACACACGCATGACCAAGCAACCCTCCTCCATGCCAAAACCCCAAGCAGCCTGCAATGGCTTGCAGCATCAAAACACCCTTTACCACCACTGCAACTGGAAGGAGAAATCTGCTGCTTGAGAGAAAACTCATACAGCCAATGAGAGTCAAAAACTGCATGGCCACAAATTTTAACAGCTGCTCACTTGTAAATGTCCCTGAAAGAGGCCACAGATCCTCACCATGAACTAAAAAGGGGGGGATCTAGACATGAAAAAACACACTGCTGCTCTGCTTGGGACCATTCTCATCAGTGTTCATCAGCTTTGTTGATCTGCACAAGACAGGTCCAGTGGAGCCAAGCAAGCTTCAGGATTCGTGAGATCTTTGCACTGCACGCTGGAAAAATGTAAAACAAAAAGGCTTCCAAATAATCTCCATAACAGAGAGCAGAGCCTGTGCTACTAAACTGATGCAACGTTTATTTCAACTTTAGCCTGAGCTGTTGACACAAAAAGATGGAAATCACATGGGAAGAATATCTATTTAAGGTATAAAGAGGACCCAAAATAATCATGCTTTAGAGAGGATAGAACTAATCTTTGGGTGTTGCATCACATGTATCTGCAGCAATAAATTGCCACTGCTTACACAGAACAAAGAACATATAATCCAATATGCCTTTCAATCCCTCCTAGCCCAAGCCTCGGCATACAAATATCTGCTCAAAAAACATACTTAAAATTAAGAAACATTTCAAGATGTCACCCTCCTATATATTATTGCATTCAACAATTTTAATTTAATTCATCCTGATTGCCAAAATAACAAGAGTGCTTGAAAGAGAAAAGCCCTCTCCTAGCCTTCCAAAGTACTCTTCCCTCACATTTAATGCAAAAGCTTAATATTATTCCTAATGCTGTGGTTAAAACAAAGCAGCTCCAGAGACCTTCACTGAATTTGTTTCTCCAGCAGTGCAAATTTCCTGAGTTTAGCAGGTTTGTTTTGGATTTGGTTTTGCCTTTTTGGGTTTTTTTTTTGCAATAAGGGCTTTTGGAAAAGCAGGGATGGTAACCCACAGGGTCTGCTCCCACCCGAGTGATCTGGAGCTGCATCAGATTTGGGACAGGATCTCTGAAACCTCTTCACTTGGACTCAGTCCCACCAGCCAGCTTTGGGGACGAGCTGCAGGGCCCACTTGAGCCTGGTCTCCTGTAGAAGTCAAGTTTAAGGCATCACACTCTACATGCGACCATCTGCTTGGTGAGCTGCTCTGGGTTTCTCCAAACATCACGGAGAGGTGGAGGCCACTGAAACAGCAGCTTTCTACCTGCACTGAGAAAACAGGGATCCAAGCAGGCAGCCTGCACAGGCATCCACGGGCTCCTGAAACACCAGGGACATCCCAAGGCAAAGATGGTGATGAAACTCAGATGTGGCAAGGCTCTGAGCTAGATGAAGATGCAAATGTGCAGAAAACCACACTGCATTGGTACTCCTCCTCCAGTGCTTTGCACAGGAGAAAACAGAACACCTTGGCGTAACCCAACCAAGGCAGCGAGAGCACCCCAGGGTAATTCTCCAAATTGCTTTTGAGTTGGGCATTATGTCACCTCATTTCCCCCAAAGTCTTGCAGGAGTTTGTTTTTGTAGGATTATCATAAAACAGGAACTGCAAGAAAGCTGTAAAATCCAAGTTAAATGAAAGTCTACAGCAGATTCATGCAGCACCCAGGTGGCTCCCACCACCACCCTTGGGGAGGGGGCAGCTCATGCCTGCTGATTGTGCAGAATTTCCTTTTCCACTAAATCAGAAATGTCAACAAGAAGGCAAAGGAAGTTAAACCCAACCACACACGAGACATGAGAGCTCTCAAACCAATGGCTCACCACGCACAGAGTACACACCATACAGTGAATACAATAAAGCTGCAAATAGCAGCAAACTAAAAGGGTGAGGGATGGCCGCCAGTTCGCAGGGGCAGAATTGAGGTTACTGCTGCTTTAGCAGGGCCAAAGCAGGATTATGGTGCGAGTGGGGTCTGCGGTTTGGTTCAGGAGAGGTTTGGAAGGGGCTGGGGGAGTTAAGGGGCAGCAATCAGTTTGCAGCTGGCAGCACATGGGTCATTTGCCTCTGCAGCTCTTATTGATGTTTCTCTTCCTGCCATGATCCCTCGCTAGGGATGCTGCCGGCCCCATAAGCAACTCAGGGTGTCATCTGCAAAGACACCCCAGCCACCATGAAGCCAATTCAATCACTCAACTACTCCCCAAAAAACTCCTAGAGATGCTACAAGGCAGTGCAGGGTGCAAAGAACTGTGTTCAGCCAAACGCACATCACCCCAATCCCATGATGCAGGACAGACTCACCATGGCCAGCTCCCAGGGCAAAGCTCCTGGTGCCCCGGCACGCACGGAGCGGGAAGGACGCATTGCAAAACTGACAATAGCGAGCTCCCTTCTGCACCAGCTGCCAAAGCAGCCTGCTTTGTAGTTGCTTCCCACTGTGTTTGTTTTGAATAAATACATTTGCAAGAATCATTATCAAAACACACAGCATTGGAAGCGTGTTGCTCTTAAAAATTAAAAAGGCAGAATCAAGGCTCTTGAGATGATGACTGCGGGGAGGGCATAGCTGAAGAGCAGCTCTTATCAGCCGTGGTAAACAACAGAAACAGTCCGCAAACAAACATTTCCTCTGTACATAGTTTTCTCTCTTTAAATACCAACGTTCCAGGAACAAGAAATGTTTATTTCTTTGGATTTCAAAGCCACAGTCATGGACCCTTCCCAGTGCAGGAAGGTGGGTCTCGCTGGAGATGAGCAAATGTCTCCACATCTTTCCTCCATCCCCCGGGAACCACCTCACAGCTCGGCCAGATCCCCTCGGCAGGACTGGGGATGCTGAGATGGGCACGTACGAGCCCTTCCCTTCGTGGCCCTTCCCAATAAACATTTAATAGCGGCAGCCAGCACCAATAATTCACTGGGTGCAGGCAAACATCTTGCTGTAAGACCCGAGTGCGCATCTCCGATGCGCAGGCTAACGGCTGGTTCCTGCTCTTTGAAGTTTTATGTTCATAAATGGTTTCCCAAGCGCTCGACTGAAAGCAAAAAGATCTGTAAAGTGAGCAACATAACCGAGAGGCTGTATTATTTAAAAAAAAAAAAAAAAACAAAAAACAAAACCACCAAAAAGAGCACCTTTGCTGCACTGAGATCTTTGCTGAGTAGTGTTTTGCTCCAACCCAGCCCATAGCAAGGGCCAACACGAAAAGCGAGGTTCCAGCTCTTCAACTTGTTATTTGGAGAAAGCACTGCCCACAGCCAAACCACAAGCATGTTTTTATTTAAATTAAATTTTCCTCCACTGCTATTCCACCAGGCAATTCTGCAGAGCCTGCAGGTGCCGTGGGAGCTCCCTGGATGCCGGAGGAGGATGCTCTGCCCTTCTAGGAGAACCCAAGCAGTGCTGCTCACCTCCTGCTCTGAGCTGCCACACTTGTAAATGCTGGATCTGGGGTTTTGTTTTGGTAGAGGATGAGGGTTTGATGCCAGACAGCCTGTAAAAGGCAGGCTCTTCACAAGTCTAGTGTAGAGAAGGCGTTTAATGCTACGGAAATACGCAAATCACAGCAAAACTCAGATATGATCCCACATAGAGATTTCGGAGTAAGAATCTCATCAGAAAAGAGTTCAAGTATGTATCTATATTTAAGCATTTTTAATTTTAAGAACATGCTACTCCAAACAAGAAGACTTCAGCAACAGGAAGCAATCTCAAGAAAAGGTAATTTAACATACCCAGAGCAGCCTGTGGGGAAACAAATAGGCTTCTCCCCCCCCAGGAGACCCCACGCTGCAGGTCGACCTCCCCACCAAGAGCATCCCCCCCTTCGCCTGCACCACACCAGCCCCTAGAAGAGGACCTGGACCTCCTGGTGTCCCGCAGCACCGCCGGGAATGTCGGCGCTTCGGTGATGAAGAGAGAGCCCCACACATCGCTTCTTAAAAGGTATCAGCAACTCTGAAGACCAAGTGTCAAAGCAAACTGCTACACAGGCAACTTAGGAACCTGCTGTCCCCTGCACAGCAGACCCTCCAGCCACACAAATACCCTGAGACCCCCAACCTCAGGGCTCACCCCTGTTTCTGTCCATGAGCATGGCTGCAGGGAGCACACAACATCTCTGCAGGCTTGCTGTCACCTGCTTTTCTGCATCAAAATCCTTCAAAGAAAACAGACTTGAGCCTTAAAAGGAGGGCAAGGGCCCACTGCTCATCCTGTTCCTAACACCAATGGTTCAATCCAAAATTAATTAATATCTGGCAAGCAGAGGATAGCAAAACTCAGCTTCAACCCCACACTGATCTACGGGCTCTGCTCTCGCAGATATCAAAAGACAACCACACTCCAAGTCAAACCATTCTCCTTTTCCAGCCTGCACACATGCATGACAATTTATCTAAAATACAGATTTTAGAGTAGCTCAGCAGACCCCGATGGCTCCCTGTTGAGAAAGCCTTCAAAAGCCTGGAGCATGCCGAATTACTCACTGCGCCTGTGCTCCCAGAAGTTTGTCA